TACTAGTGGAAGATAGTAACAGAATTAAAAAATATATGTATAGAATACCTTTTTTTTTCTTTTTTTTTCATGTATAACCACTACATGAGGGCCGTACTGTTTGTACATTGCTTAGCCCTCATGCAGCACATCGTTTATTTAAGAAAATATTTACATATTTGAAATTGGGCTCGCATGGGGATTGGTACACTTTCCTCAGTGAGTATACTGGTGTGTATGCGTGTACCAAGACTCCATGATGCCTCACGGTGATATATACAGTGGCCGAAGCCGCAATGGGAATAACCGGGACAGACCCCGCTTTATCCCCTCTCATGTCCATTAGTTTTTAAATTTTTGCCTTGAGGTGTCTTCTCAGGCTGGCCTGATCCCGCCACCCTAGACATCTCGTGAGTGATATCCTCTTCAAGACCGACAACTTGGGATTCCCACTATGGGCCTCCTCTTCTTGAGCCCGCCGCTCTCGTGTTCCCGTTCTGGGGCTCATCCGTCATTTGCAGCGTCTGCGGCCTGACGAGCCCTCTCCTCAATTTCCTTCAACGTCAGGATGTCGTACCATTTTGTAGAAGAGCCTGAACGTTTCGTCCGCGTTGCGTAGGACACCGGCTTCTCCTGGTGGTTCGCGGGGAGGTCCTCGAAAATCGGGCCGCACAGAATGTCTGTCATGTCCGCCGTGCCCGGCGGGTGGCCAAGGTGGCTCCGGTGCTCTGTTCTGCATGCTGCAGCCTTTCCAGTTGGCACAGTAGAAGAGCGTGTGCTCAGCTGTGTCCGAACCGCCCGGGCAGTGCATACAGCGTGGACTCGGGGCCCTGCCCATGCGGTGAAGGTACCATTGAAAGCATCCGTGCCCCGTTTGGGCCTGCGTCATGTAGTACATCCATCGGGACTCGTTCGATTCTTGACCAGTCCGATTACCAATCTCTGATGTATAGAATACCTAGGTAGTACCTACAGTCTGTAGTATACACATAGTTTAGTAGTAAGTACAAAATATTATACTTGAACTACCATTGGGCGGCATTTTTCTTCAAGTCACTGTGTCCGGAGAACAAGTGCCGCCATCCCCCACCCGGGGCAACGCAGAAACCTACGGGTGCCCCATTAGAAATTCTGCCACAACACACACACGTGTACCAACCTATCCAATATGAAAACTCACAGTTCCATCCCCACACCCAATGGCCTATGTTGCCGCGGGTTGTCTAATAAAAAAAAAATAATAATAATAAAATATACTTAAACTAATTAAATGCACACAACTAGATAATATTCGAAACAATTCTTATAAAAATATAAAATATATTAAAATTATATTTTTCCTCCAACAATATTTTTGTATTATAATATTATGTACAACTGCAAGCAACAAATCTGACAATAAAATGACGACGAATTAATATATTGATCGAATTATCAATTTTTAATTATTATTAGTACCTATATTATAAGTAGGTACCTAATGAGTTTTCTGTAATTCCTTATGTTTTTTACTCAAAGCTCAATGTTGCTACCTGAACATTTGTAGTGAACAAATAAGTGCAAATGTATTTTTAACTATTATTATAACAATCATAAGCGCAACTAGGGGGGGCTGGTGGGGCTTAGCCCCCAAACATTCTAATAGCCCCCCAAAATAAATTATTTAATTGATTTCTAAAATATTAATAAACCTTTAAAAATTCAGCTGTATTTCGACCTTTCTATAAATCGTGGCTAATATATCAGAGTCCTATATTACTCTTATTTTCTCTTTTCTCTTTGATACACGTTTTTATCGTTCGTATTATGTACGCACTGATTAATTGGCGATTAAAAGTGATAATCTGTTACGGGTACACACAGTCACACAGATTTAAAAAAAGAACCAAGTCCTTTAAAAGAGTACGCTGTTACAGTAACGACTGCAGCAGACTCTGAGGATTGTTCCAACAAAAATGATTCTGAGGCAGAGAATTATTGAAAATTAAACGCATTTTTTGTTATCATGGACACAATCATTTCAAACACGAAATGTATATTTTCTACAGAGAGTTTACAAATTTCTACATCAGCTGATTGTTCAATGCAATTTGATTTTAATGGTAGTTTGCATCTGATTGATTATTATAAAGTAATTAAATATATAATTTTTTTTTAATAAAAATACTTCTAGACTTTGGAAATTAATTAGGTATTTAAGCTTAATTAATTGTTGTATAGTCCTAACTAATTATTTCTTTATATATTGCTATTTAGTAACTGATACAAATTAATATAGTATTTTAAATTTTAATGTATTTTTCAGGATTTATTTGAATTTATTTGAAAAAATGAAAATGGAAAATGTCCGTAACAAATTATTTTATGTGGTTAAAAGTTGAATTTTGTGAAATATAACGCAGCACGTCTATTATCTTAATATATATAATTCTCGTTATTCCATATAATTAACACAATTCATCGCAGTTACCTATGTCAATATATTATACTATTTAATGCGGATACATTGCAATTTATTGTTTTGTTAAAAAACAAAATTATTTTATTATATATTTTAAATGGGTACTAACAATTATTATTATACGATTAATTAACACATAAATTCGATCATTTAAGACTCTGTTAACCCTAATTATGTTATTATTTATCATTTTTATTAGTTGACAATGTAAAACAATGTGTTAATTAATCGTGTATGTTAAATTTCAACAAATATCTATCACCACTGTTTATCTTGTAGTTTTCTCATACAAATCGATGTGCCACACCATTTTAATCGGCGGTTCGAGCGTGAAAAACGCGCGACAAGCTCAAAAATGATGTGACACCTCGATTCATATGAGATTTTTACAAAAAATACAACTTGAGTATTTATTTTTACATTTAAGATAATGTTCTAAAAATAAATTGAAAAAACCCAGATTTTGAAGGTAGAAAAAAATTTTCAAAAAAATCATCATTGGGTCATCACACTGAGTACGCATATACTAGTTTCCTCATTCATTTCAGAAACACCCTGTATATAGATATAAACGTACAAACGGCGGCTACCTACGGTACCGGGATACATTATAATGTATTACTTATAATAACAATAATAGGATGGACCTGAATTGTACGTATATGATTTGCCTATGCGTTTAACCATGTACCTACCTTACTCTCGTATTATATGCTTACCGCTATACATATATCATAGTGTCTCTCGAAACCGTGGCCCTCGAAACCCGTGAGCCCATAGGCCTTGTACCAATATACTGGCCTTAACAATATAAATATAATATAAAATATTCACAATCAAAACTGACAAACCATCACCTCAGTACCTCACCGCTCAGAATCGTTATCATTGAATTCAAATTTAATACCATCCATTATACAGTGACCCACTTGTAACCTACTGTATAGCAAAGCGACATCCACTTACCCACCTTTTTTTGCTTTAATTTATAAAAGTTATTAATATAAATTTGAATATACAACTGGAGCTATAACATTTGTGTTGCCTTAAGAGGACGTTATACCCGTCTTACAAGTGTGTACATGGCAAATTTTATGCTCCTCGCAGAACACATTTATCTCTGCTAATTTAAAAAATAGAGTAAATTGACCTCTTATAAAATCTAAAGGTAAGATTATTATCTAGTCAACTTCATGGGTTTTTTTATTATATTTTAATTTTAAAGCGAGTTATGAGTATTTTAAAATTGTAAATTGTTTGTAGATTTTATGATACTTATAACTCTCTTTAAAATAAAAATATAATAAAAAACCCATGAGATTGATTAGATTATTATCTTACCTGTAGATTTTATAAGAGGTCAATTTACTATATTTTTGAAATCAACGGAGATAAATGTATTCTGAGGAGCATACAATTTGCCATGTTACACACTTGTAAGACGGAGACAACACATGGGTATAAGTGTATAACGTTTTCTTAATCCTATTTTAATATAAGCATTTTGTGTGTTTTGAACCCGGGGTTACGATAATTTATTGTCGAGTGTTGTCAAAAAAAAATATCTGTTATTTAGATTTTATTAAATCGTTTTTTTCGATCAGATCAGTTAAAACTCGGAATAACGTGTGTGTTATTACTTATGAAGTTATGAATATTTTCGTCAACTATTATTGAGTAAAATATAGTTTATGCTGAAACGGCCACCGGGTGTATTATGACCGAAAAATAAAGTATTTTGATTTCATTTGACGTCGGACCTAGGATGCATTTGACTAAATTGTTCGGAAGTAATCGAACACCACAATAATTACAGTGCAGGTTATTATTTATTATAGCTTATCGTACTATATAGCCTGACACTGACTAGTTACCTACCTTACATAATCATGAAAAATTATTTATTTGTTCAAAAATATGCTTTTAAATATATATTGAACTTTTGAATAAATCAATGGTCATATTCATATTTGCTTTGTAAAAATTAATTCAATAAATGTTCTGCAGTCAGGGACAGCCTCTCTTATTCCAATAAGTTGGGACTTGGAGTGTTCATGCAGCACATAGTATCTATTACATCTGTCATCTATGTGTAATGTGTATCACATATTACAAACTTAGTGCAAAAAAAATTCAATATTTTCAAGTATAAATAATAAATATTGAAAAACTACTTAAGACTGAAATGGGTAGAGCATACATGGAGAAAACAGGAATCGGTCGTAATAAGGGTGATAAGGACAGTAATTGAAAATCGCAATCTGACAATAAATCAACCTCTGAGAAGACTACTCTAGATGTTAATAATTCAGAAAATATATTTATTGTTGGTAATTTATTGTGACCAAACTAACAAACAAGTATAACTGAATTTGATTCTAAAAAAAATCAGTAAATTTATATGTGAAACAACATTTTTTTTTATTAAAAAACAACTTAATATAAACAGTAAATTTGTACAATATTGTATATGGGAAAAAGGCTCTTTTTTTAAATTCTGTTAAGACTTCTGAGTTGTATTTTCTTCTTGTTTTATAGATTTCAGATAAACAATCATATTTTAAAGAGGGTAGAGAATGCCTTTAGCAACTTTAACTTTTTCTTCATTACCAAGCAATACTTCAACTAGAGTTAATCCAAATTCAACAGCTGTAGCAGGTCCACGACTGGTCACCAGATTTCCTTAAAAAAATTAAATTGTTAAAAAAGGAATCAACGTGGAAATCAAAATGAAGAAAAGTTACATAATAGTTTTTTTTATAAATACAAAACATCAGATATCAAACATATTATAAAATAATAAAATACCTAATAATATTCAATATTTTAGTAAGAACATTTATTTTTTTTTCAAATGCACAGTAATAATAAACACTCAATAGAGATAACAATTTAATTAACTATTCAAAAATATTGATGAATGGCATAGAGATACCATACATTAATTTATAATATGTTTCCTTCTGTTACACGTCTTAAAATATACATAAAGGGCTTTTTATGAAGGGGCAAGGGCAAAACTTCAGGAAACAAGATCACGCCTCATAATATAAGTCAATTTTGATCATTTATTTTTTTATTTGAAAGAGGACAGTGTTGTTGTCTGAAAGTTGAAGTCCTTCTGAAATTTTAAATTGTTAGATTGTTCTATAAATTCAATTATAATTTCCATGTAAGTTACTGATCTGTAAAACTTCCTCTATATGGCTCTATAATATTTTATAATCCCCTTTGCCATAAAGAACAGTCCTGAGCATGGGCGTAACTAGGATTGAATGGTTACAGGGGCTAGAGTCCTACAAAGCCAAAGTGTAAAATAACACGTGGGGGAAAAGCCCCCCACACACCCCTTATAAGATTCAGTGAAATTTAGTTGTTACAAAAAGTCCGCTAAAACCAAAATTTAATATAAACCATCATTTTTTTGGGTCATCTTCGTTCTTAGCACTAGGCACTTGATTTTTTTAATTTGAATATACAGAACATTTTGATAATTGTAAATACAATCTAACGTTTTTATGTTTACCGTTTACCTACGTACTCAAAAATAAAAATGACGGCTGTGACAGTCTGTAATAGTACATACCTACTTTGCAGTCTGCACAGACGCACAGTAAATTGAGAACTGAGAATTGGAAAATAAAATGATTATATCATAATAGTATTCAACCACTGTACGAAAGTGCAATAAAACTAATATAGGTAACTATAATATTATGAGAATAGGTATACCAATACGGGACACAGGCAAATATTTAAAGGTAATTATATAATATAATATTATATAGTAGCCAGTAGGGGCATTATATAAGTAAGCTTGAAGCTAATATGCAGTAAGCAGATAAGCTATACACCTTAAACTATGAATTAAGATATACTATACGTATATGGTATATCTTAACTCGTGCCTTAAACGGATAAATACATTTCTTCCACAAAAATTATGATCAATTACGATAAATTCGTTCTTGGTACACGTCTACACAGTACACAATGTCAATTATATTATATCATGTTTTATAATATAATAATTATTAATTTATTATTTTACACATTATTTTTTTTTTCGTTTTGGGTTCTTAATAAGAGCTTAAGGAGGGACCAACAAGTAAAACCTTATATAAATATAAGTACGGGGGGTTAAGCCCCCCCAATAACGCCGATGGTCCTGAGTATGCCACTAAAAGAAAAACACTTTATTCAGGTGTATGGGAACCTTACCCCTGCCCTAAAGGATGGATTTTTCTATACCGATCAAAAGTAGATTAACTAATAATTTATCAAATTTATATTACAGATATATTATAATTTAGATTATATAACTAATTAATAACACTTTTAACAATATGGGAAATTGTATAGATTAAAAAATTATTTGATAAAAGTACTTATTTCTGTAAAGACTAATGAATCAAGACTAAGCAACTATCTGGTATATTCCTATGATAGTTGATAAAGACTTGGCCATTGATTGTGTTAAAAGCATTATATTGTATGAGAATATCAAACATTTTAAACCAAACATTTTGTTACTTTATATTAGTTTGGCGAATAAATGATAATTTACTAAAAAATAATTCACTATTAAAATTCCATTATTTATGGGAGGGCTGGCATTAAACTAAACAGTTATAAGGCTGAATGAAATGTTTTAATTTTACCATCAACTACTGTACTATCTTCTTTGTACTGGTAAAAACACTCAATGTCACTCTTCACAGTTGGATAAGACGTCAATGATTTTCCTTTAGCAATTCCATGTTTGAATAACACAAATGGGGCTGTAAATGTTATGGTTATTACTTATTAGTAATTTATTATACACATAATGATTATATGTACAGAAATATCAAATATAATTTAAAGTATTTTTTAGACCCTTACCGGCACAAATAGCAGCTATGACTTTACCACATTTTTCATGTTCAAGCAAAATTTGTCCAACTACATCAGCCTGAAAATATAAAATGTATATTAATAAAAATAAACTGACTACAGGGATACAAATTTCCTTGATGCTTATATTATGTATGTACTTCAACATAGAAAATGTCTATGAAATAAAGATATAAATAGTCTCTTTCAAGTCCTCTACTTATAGTTTTAATATTAAAACCACTTAGAAAATATGATTAAGGCAGTTGAAAGAGAACCATTTTTAAGGGATTTGGATTTAGGCAATATTCTATATCCATCATGTATAATGTGTGACTGTGTGTGTAGTTACTGATCATTAGTGTTCTTGTATTCCCCGAACACTTTATGTTATTAAAGATAAATTCTTGAAAATCAGTAACGTACATCTACATACGCGCAGTCACACATAACTAAATTGTGTGATCAAAATTGTTTCAACATGAGTCACAAAAAGAGGAAGAAAAATTCACGCTGTACCAAAAGCCCAATTTTAATTTTGATAATATATTTTAATTCCTTATTCTATTTTTTAGATTATGTAGGAAAAGGATTTTTTTGTATTGTTTAATTACTATAGTAGGACCAACTGAATTTTCTTTTTTTTTCAAAATTAATTTTTACTTTAGTGTTCCTAAGAAAAAAAAATTGAATATCCATTTACTAAATAACCTAGAAAAAAGAATAAATAATTCAAATGTTTTCAAAATTAAAATCGGACTTTTGCTACTGGGTAAATATTTTTCCTGGTAATTGGTCTAAAATTTAGACTCTAAATACACGAAAAAACAATCCGCCTTAAAGCTTTTACTGTCTTTAAGTATCGTAATGTAGACATTTAGAGATAGTAAATATTTCTAACAGAACAATTTTTTTGCGTTAACTATTGTTGCCTTATTAATATTTTAATTAGATTAAAACCACAAGAAAAATATAAACTAAAAACTTACTGAAGATAAAACCTTGTGCGATGGACCACCAGGTATAACGACAGCATCAAATATGTTATTTTTTACATCCTTCAACTTCGCATCAGTTTTAATCAGTAGATTTGATTTAGTCTTAACATATTCAGAATCAGCTAAATCAGCAATTGTAACAGTCACCTTTATAACAATAAAAATATATTATACATAAGTCAACTGAACAGGCAATGATGTCAGTAAGTCAGGGAAAGTTTTTTTATAACTTAATATAATATATAGATGTTTCATAGAACCAATCTATATCTAAATTTAAAAACACAAAATTTGAAATTTTTCAAAATAGCTATTAATTAAAAATTGTTCATTTATTCAATCACAAATTAAAAATAAAACGAATAATTTTTATAACTAGCAAACGTTTTAAATTATTTAAGGAATATTACATTAGCACGGCGTAGGATGTCCACAGGTGCCACTAATTCAAGCTCTTCGCTGCCTTCTGCTACAATGAATAAAGCAGTTTTTGTGGCCATTTCTATGCAAGAATTTGAAGAGTATTTTGAATTGAAAAAATTGTTCCGTTGGGTGTCGAGCGCAAATAAAGGCTTGTGAAATTTGACTGAGCTGTAAACAGAACAATATGGTTTAGCAAATACGAACAGTTTATGGAGCATCTGAAAACTCTATAATTATAAATTAATGTAACAAAAAGATAAAATCAGAAATACTCAGAAAAAGCACGTGTGTGAAGTTGGGTGACCAAAGCTAGGTGACTATTTTTTTCGGGCGGCTAGTGATAAGAAACCTTGCACGTTGTGTTGCATTCTTTAAATTTCAAGGGTGCCTTCTATTGCATCGAAACTATAAAGTAGATGTCGCCCTATGACATTTAATAACTATTTATTTTAAAAGTATATAAATAAATAATAAATTCTATTGGTGTCATTACCACGATAATTATACCGAAACCATAACTATACCGAATTATACAAATCAATAATAATTTAAAGTTAGGTTATAAATTGCCCTAATTTCGAAGACATGTTCTAACAAATGAACATTGTACTTTTGCAGTTTACATTAACTAATTAAAAGTGTAAACTATTTAACGATGTCATTTGTTAGAGATCACATTCTACGGAAACAGGTAAGTTTACGTTATGTTAATTGTTTTTATTTAAATTAATTATGTAATATTGTGTTTATCTATCCACATACTGAATGGTAGTGTCTATGCAAACGAAAAATAGGCAAAACTCTATGTATTTGATTTTTTTTTATTTTTCCGGCAGTGTTCCAGAAGGAGTCGAAGGACCTAACATAGATATTCGGAAAGCCAGGAAAATTTACTATCCGACGAGATAAATTTCAAGAGCTCCCTGGCATTTTAAGTAACCGTACTTAGTGCACGAAAGTGCCAGGTGACTAATGCCGGTATGACGTGAAACGTATACGCGCGTCTGGTGAACAATGCCGGTAGGACGCGAAACGTATACGCGCGCGTGGTTTTTGATTTTTCCGGCAGTGTTCCGGAAAGAGTCGAAGGTCCTAACATAGATATTCGGAAAGCCAGGAAAATTTACTACCCGACGAGATAAATTCCAAGAACCACCGGGCTTTCTAAGTAACCGTACTTAGTAAACGAAAGCGCCAGGTGACTAATGCCGGTATGACGCGAAACGTATACGCGCGCGTGGTTTTTGATTTTTCCGGCAGTGTTCCGGAAGGAGTCGAAGGACTTAACATAGATATACGGAAAGCCAGGAAAATTTACTACCCGACGAGATAAATTCCAAGAACCACCGGGCTTTCTAAGTAACCGTACATAGTAAACGAAAGCGCCAGGTGACTAATGCCGGTATGACGCGAAACGTATACGCGCGCGTGGTTTTTGATTTTTCCGGCAGTGTTCCGGAAGGAGTCGAAGGTCCTAACATAGATATTCGGAAAGCCAGGAAAATTTACTATCCGACGAGATAAATTCCAAGAACCACCGGGCTTTCTAAGTAACCGTACTTAGTAAACGAAAGCGCCAGGTGACTAATGCCGGTATGACGCGAAACGTATACGCGCGCGTGGTTTTTGATTTTTCCGGCCATGTTCCGGAAGGAGTCGAAGGACCTAACATAGATATTCGGAAAGCCAGGAAAATTTACTATCCGACGAGATAAATTCCAAGAACCACTGGGCTTTCTAAGTAACCGTACTTAGTAAACGAAAGCGCCAGGTGACTAATGCCGGTATGACGTGAAACGTATACACGCGTCTGGTGAACAATGCCGGTATGACACGAAACGTATACGAGCGTCAGGGGACTAATGCCGGTATGACGTGAAACGTATACACGCGTCTGGTGAACAATGCCGGTATGACACGAAACGTATACGAGCGTCAGGGGACTAATGCCGGTATGACGCGTAACGTAAAGGCGCGCGGGGTTTTTGATTTTTCCCGAAGTGTTCCGGAAGGAGTCGAAAGACTTAACATAGATATTCGGAAAGCCAGGAAAATTTACTACCCGACGAGATAAATTCCAAGAACCACCGGGCTTTCTAAGTAACCGTATTTAGTAAACGAAAGCGCCAGGTGACTAATGCCGGTATGACGCGAAACGTATACGCGCGCGTGGTTTTTGATTTTTCCGGCAGTGTTCCGGAAGGAGTCGAAGGACTTAACATAGATATTCGGAAAGCCAGGAAAATTTACTACCCGACGAGATAAATTCCAAGAACCACCGGGCTTTCTAAGCAACCGTACTTAGTAAACGAAAGCGCCAGGTGACTAATGCCGGTATGACGCGAAACGTATACGCGCGCGTGGTTTTTGATTTTTCCGGCAGTGTTCCGGAAGGAGTCGAAGGACTTAACATAGATATACGGAAAGCCAGGAAAATTTACTACCCGACGAGATAAATTCCAAGAACCACCGGGCTTTCTAAGTAACCGTACTTAGTAAACGAAAGCGCCAGGTGACTAATGCCGGTATGACGCGAAACGTATACGCGCGCGTGGTTTTTGATTTTTCCGGCAGTGTTCCGGAAGGAGTCGAAGGTCCTAACATAGATATTCGGAAAGCCAGGAAAATTTACTATCCGACGAGATAAATTCCAAGAACCACCGGGCTTTCTAAGTAACCGTACTTAGTAAACGAAAGCGCCAGGTGACTAATGCCGGTATGACGCGAAACGTATACGCGCGCGTGGTTTTTGATTTTTCCGGCCGTGTTCCGGAAGGAGTCGAAGGACCTAACATAGATATTCGGAAAGCCAGGAAAATTTACTACCCGACGAGATAAATTCCAAGAACCACCGGGCTTTCTAAGTAACCGTACTTAGTAAACGAAAGCGCCAGGTGACTAATGCCGGTATGACGCGAAACGTATACGCGCGCGTGGTTTTTGATTTTTCCGGCAGTGTTCCGGAAGGAGTCGAAGGTCCTAACATAGATATTCGGAAAGCCAGGAAAATTTACTACCCGACGAGATAAATTCCAAGAACCAACGGGCTTTCTAAGTAACCGTACTTAGTAAACGAAAGCGCCAGGTGACTAATGCCGGTATGACGCGAAAAGTATACGCGCGCGTGGTTTTTGATTTTTCCGGCAGTGTTCCGGAAGGAGTCGAAGGACTTAACATAGATATTCGGAAAGCCAGGAAAATTTACTACCCGACGAGATAAATTCCAAGAACCACCGGGCTTTCTAAGTAACCGTACTTAGTAAACGAAAGCGCCAGGTGACTAATGCCGGTATGACGCGAAACGTATACGCGCGCGTGGTTTTTGATTTTTCCGGCAGTGTTCCGGAAGGAGTCGAAGGACTTAACATAGATATTCGGAAAGCCAGGAAAATTTACTACCCGACGAGATAAATTCCAAGAACCACCGGGCTTTCTAAGCAACCGTACTTAGTAAACGAAAGCGCCAGGTGACTAATGCCGGTATGACGCGAAAAGTATACGCGCGCGTGGTTTTTGATTTTTCCGGCAGTGTTCCGGAAGGAGTCGAAGGACTTAACATAGATATTCGGAAAGCCAGGAAAATTTACTACCCGACGAGATAAATTCCAAGAACCACCGGGCTTTCTAAGTAACCGTACTTAGTAAACGAAAGCGCCAGGTGACTAATGCCGGTATGACGCGAAACGTATACGCGCGCGTGGTTTTTGATTTTTCCGGCAGTGTTCCGGAAGGAGTCGAAGGACTTAACATAGATATACGGAAAGCCAGGAAAATTTACTACCCGACGAGATAAATTCCAAGAACCACCGGGCTTTCTAAGTAACCGTACTTAGTAAACGAAAGCGCCAGGTGACTAATGCCGGTATGACGCGAAACGTATACGCGCGCGTGGTTTTTGATTTTTCCGGCAGTGTTCCGGAAGGAGTCGAAGGTCCTAACATAGATATTCGGAAAGCCAGGAAAATTTACTATCCGACGAGATAAATTCCAAGAACCACCGGGCTTTCTAAGTAACCGTACTTAGTAAACGAAAGCGCCAGGTGACTAATGCCGGTATGACGCGAAACGTATACGCGCGCGTGGTTTTTGATTTTTCCGGCCGTGTTCCGGAAGGAGTCGAAGGACCTAACATAGATATTCGGAAAGCCAGGAAAATTTACTACCCGACGAGATAAATTCCAAGAACCACCGGGCTTTCTAAGTAACCGTACTTAGTAAACGAAAGCGCCAGGTGACTAATGCCGGTATGACGCGAAACGTATACGCGCGCGTGGTTTTTGATTTTTCCGGCAGTGTTCCGGAAGGAGTCGAAGGTCCTAACATAGATATTCGGAAAGCCAGGAAAATTTACTACCCGACGAGATAAATTCCAAGAACCAACGGGCTTTCTAAGTAACCGTACTTAGTAAACGAAAGCGCCAGGTGACTAATGCCGGTATGACGCGAAACGTATACGCGCGCGTGGTTTTTGATTTTTCCGGCAGTGTTCCGGAAGGAGTCGAAGGACTTAACATAGATATACGGAAAGCCAGGAAAATTTACTATCCGACGAGATAAATTCCAAGAACCACTGGGCTTTCTAAGTAACCGTACTTAGTAAACGAAAGCGCCAGGTGACTAATGCCGGTATGACGTGAAACGTATACACGCGTCTGGTGAACAATGCCGGTATGACACGAAACGTATACGAGCGTCAGGGGACTAATGCCGGTATGACGCGTAACGTAAAGGCGCGTGGGGTTTTTGATTTTTCCCGAAGTGTTCCGGAAGGAGTCGAAAGACTTAACATAGATATTCGGAAAGCCAGGAAAATTTACTACCCGACGAGATAAATTCCAAGAACCACCGGGCTTTCTAAGCAACCGTACTTAGTAAACGAAAGCGCCAGGTGACTAATGCCGGTATGACGCGAAACGTATACGCGCGCGTGGTTTTTGATTTTTCCGGCAGTGTTCCGGAAGGAGTCGAAGGACTTAACATAGATATTCGGAAAGCCAGGAAAATTTACTACCCGACGAGATAAATTCCAAGAACCACCGGGCTTTCTAAGTAACCGTACTTAGTAAACGAAAGCGCCAGGTGACTAATGCCGGTATGACGCGAAACGTATACGCACGCGTGGTTTTTGATTTTTCCTGCAGTGTTCCGGAAGGAGTCGAAGGTCCTAACATAGATATTCGGAAAGCCAGGAAAATTTACTACCCGACGAGATAAATTCCAAGAACCATAACATAATTTATTATTATATAAGAGAACAGGCCTTTTTTATGTTCCAATTTTTTTGTTCACAGAGTTGTTCCAAATACCTTCCTGAGTGTCAGCACGTCACCCGATTTTCTTATTTTATAGGTTTGGTAGGTACCGAAAATGGTTGAAGAATATTGAGTTCATTTTTAATTCAAATATTTTGTAGTTTTGTACATTGCCAGTATTTACAGCCTTTCCAGTTTGTTTTGTACATATTATTATTTATTATTTATTAATTAAAGACTCAAACATTTCATATCGTCATATAAATATGGTATATTTATTTAAAAAAAGAGTAATTTGGTGGTGTGCTTTGCCCCCCCGCGCCTCTATTTTCTGAAATTAACTGGACCCTCCCCATGACAAATTCCTAAATACGCCACTGGGGAGATTTAAATTAGCTTTAAAAATATTAAAATATGTAAACAATTATGACGGCGTACACTGTACAGTGACTACGGAGAGGCGACGTTGCATATTATATTATAATTGTCGTGAATCCACTTTCAATGGCGCGTATGATACGCGGATTTTTCTCCCCAGCCACTCGCCGATAACATTATGATTGAAATTACTGTCGGGCGGCAGTTTCACTAAATCCGTCGACCGTCGACCGAATTACTAAAATAATATTGACATCGACATACCGACGATATTAATATACGATAACACGATGTTACAATATAATATAATAATATTTTCAATAACTTCTATACATTTTTATTTTTAGATAATTATAATTTACAAATATCTAGCGGTATCGGACTCTCCTGTGACGAGCCGCCCCGGGTATTATTGGCACAAAACGGCACAACGTCAACCAACACAATAGCAGTGTTTATTTACATATTATAATAATATACGAATTATTGTACAAAAATACTTTGTGAAACATTTACAATGACGTTGGACCCGAGCGGTCGGTTTTCCACGAAACTAGTAACCAACAAACAATAGGAACATTGGGTGGGTTGGCGTGTGGTGTAGTCTGTTCAATTTTGCGCCGGGCCTGCATAGTGCATACTATAATATAATATTATCATGAATTTAAAAAGTATATATTATACTTATTATATAGTATATTATATAATATTATACTATCATGAATTTAAAAAGTATATATCGTCCCCGTTCATGCAAAACACACTAAGTCCAAAAACATGATTTTTGAGTATGAGCTTTTGCAATTTTTCCAAATTATAATTCCATATTCTGCGTATTAAGGAAAACATCGAATGGACTTAGTTAACATTTTGAATTGTATATTAAACATCTTTAAATAATATTGGGAGGGACTTAGTTGAATACAGCATATTGTAGATATTTTTAAACTGAATTCTTATATGACAATAAACCGGAAAACCCGATTTTTGGACTTAGTGTGTTTTGCATGAACGGGGACGATATTATACTTATTATAGTATATAAGTATATTATATTTATATAATATAATAATATTATATATAATATATAATATATTTATGTATAGTCAATAGTATATATAGTATTACTAGAGTACTGAGGAACCAGAAGGGAGGATTGTTTCTAGAATTAAAAGGTGGTACCTACTCTAAAGTAAATTTTTTGCAAGAACTTAAGGTATATTAATGGCCCAAAAATTAACTTGTAAATAAAAGCTACAACATTATATGATACTAGCTGATCCCGTGCACTTCGTTTCCCGTTAAATGTACCAACTCTATATGACTCAAACACTGTTCACTGCGTTATTTAATATTCGGTGTATGATGTTCTAGATTTATCTTAACTTTTCTGTTGCCCGGAATAAAAATTCTGAATTGCAGCAGTACATTATCAGATAGGTAATTTACCTGCGGTAGATCGCGGACCCCGTCAGTGCCGCATTTAGACATTTTGCGCCCTGGTGCAAAAAAAAAATTGGCGCCCCCAAGCCCCGGTGAAAAAAAATTGCTCCTCCCACGGAAAATATGTGAGGTAGATCCTCATTACCCTTTAGATTATGAGCGAAGAAAAGAATATTTGTTTAAGAGTGCTTTTTTAAATAAATATTGTTTAGTAATTGCTTGATCCCTCCGCAAAGATATATTGGAATTTATGTCACTCAAACCTTGCTAATAATTTAGTATCATTAAGTTGTGTTTTAGATTCTGAGCGGAGCGATGAATGTATTGGTTTTACAATGATGTGTGTTTTTTTTTTTTATATTTTTATTTTTTTTTATTTTTGTGTCTGTCATCCCGTTTTAGGACAGTAAAAGTGCTTGGATTTTCTTCATCAGTAGCTTTTTTGATAGGAAAGTGAATCTAGTTGGTACTTTGGGGGGTCAAAAGTATAAATTGCCCAGTAGTTTTCACAAGCGCCGGGAAAAACATCATAAAAATTAAGGAAAAACGGGAATTTTTACGCAAAATTGGTTTTCCAAAAAATCGATTTTGGTTATTGGTGTAACTCTAAAACAAATGAACGTATATACATGAAATTTTCACTGGTTGTTTATATTTGCATTTTCTATACACGATAAAATTTTCAAAATATTTTGATTTATTTTGAACTGTTTAGGGACAATTTCATTTTCCATTTTTTTTTAGTTTTTTTTCTAAAAATATCAATAAAATTTTATTTGTTGGTTGCAAAAGCTTTAAAATTTAATAGAAGGCTCCTAATATATTGTTTCAAAGGCAGATGAAAAATATTAAAAATCTTTAGTCACAATTTTTTTTTATAAGCATTTAAAGTTCAAAAATTGACAAAATATGGAAAAATCACGAAAATTAGCAAATTATTTTGAGTTAAGAATTCGTAAAAATTTTTCTTTTTAAATCTAAGATTTGAAAATGAAACACAAGATTCCTTATAAGATTATCTACCTTTATCAATAAAAAAATCTCTATCGGACAGTCAAATTAAATTTTTATGAGCGTTTGAAATTCAAATTTTTACAACATTGGATATTCACTCGATTACTCATGTAGCGATTTCCTTATTTTGTTGCAATTCAAAAACGAACAACTGTAGATACATGAAAAATTCACTGAATGTTTATATTAGCATTTCCTATCCACCATACAATTTTGAAAATATTTTGACTCTTTTGGAGCTGTTTATGGACATTTACAGCTTTCAATTTTTTTTAGTTTTTTTTTCTATAAATATCAATAAAGTTTTATCTGTTGGGCCAAAAAGTGTAAAATTTTTATACAAGGCTCCTGATATATTTTTACAATATCAGTTGAAAAATATTAAAAATACATAGGCACGATTTTTTTTTATAAGCATTTAAAGTTGGAATTTTGACAAAATTTATCAAAATCTCGAAAATTATCAATCGTTGGAATTAAAAAATTATAAAATGTTCAGTTTTTATAACTAAGAGTTGAAAATTTTAAACAAAGATTCTCTTAAATAATTCATACTGTAACCAAAAAATCTAAAAAATATATAAACACACTAATTTTTTACAGACATTTTAATTTCAAATTTGGACGAAATTACATATTAAAAAACCTAGAATAACTATTTCAGTTATTTTGTTGTGATTGAATAATATTATTCGTGGGTACTTGAAACTTCTAAAGTGTACTATTATATACCTATCTATGATAGTATCACGGTTTTTGTTGATGTATAACGTGTTACAGTACTCCCTCGTTAACACGAACTCGGTTAACACAAATTATTGTATAACGCGAACCGGTTTTTCAGTCCAGAGAAAGGCTCTATACTATAAGATAGGGGTTTTTTTATTTCCTCGGTTTATACGAATTATTTCGGTTAACACGAAACTCGAACAAATTTTAGGTACCATATTGTCGTTTTGTTGATTAACACGAACAGAAAAATGTCAATCTGTACATATATATCTAATTTCGTTTTATTACTCGTATACTAGTCGTTAGTAATTTAATCTTTATAACACAGTTTTATCGATATCTTATCTTATCCCTACTATGTATGTACATATTCTCTATTGTAGGTACATACATATGTATACATGTGTACATTTGTATGTGTGCAATCTAGTTCGGCGATAATCGCTGTCGTTTAAACTAATAATTGCTCTATCAAGTATCAATCAGTTGGTCAGTTGACTTAGTTGGTGTCGTTAGTGATTGGTGTCGTTAGTGATTGACCAAAATGAGTTTGAAAAGGAAGCAAATGTCTATAGATCTAAAAACTAAGCAACTAATTTTAGTAGAAGTCGAAAAAGGTACACTGCCTAAAACCAAAATCGCGGAGAAATTTGGCATTCCAAAATCAACATTATCAACAATTATTAAAAATAAAGATAAGATTGACGAAGCAGTTGCGCTTGGTTCAACCAACAGTACAAAGCGTCTACGAAAACCCATGCTTGAAGACGTTGAAAAGGAACTTTCGAAGTGGTTCAAAAAAGCCAGAGACTCCAACATTCCACTATCAGGTGCACTTGTGAGGGAGAAAGCAAAGGAGATTTGTACTTCCAATGGCGTTGAGCATATGGCGTGTTCTGATGGCTGGTTATGTATTTGAGTGTAAAATAACGTATTAGATTTAAACTTCTCTGATAACACGAACAAATTCGTGTTAAACCTATCGGTTTACACAAATTTTTTTAACACGAACATGTTATTTTGTGGTCCCGTCGTGTTCGTGTTAACGAGGGAGTACTGTATAAGTATCTAATGGATATTGTGATATGATTAATTTGGAATTTATTATAGGTACCTATTATAGGTCAATTTTTTGTTTAATACCATAGATATGTATATAATATGTCTTATACATAGACTGACATACCGTCACCGCTCAGAATTTTTTTTCTTATACAATGATATTATATCATTGAATTCAAATTTAATACCATCACATAATACAGTGACCCACTTGTAACCTACTGTACAGCAGAGCGACACCCACTTGCCCACCTTTTTTTTTAAACATATTTAAGTAGGTACTTCATGGATAAATAAAATAAAATTATATAAAACTATGCAAATAAATATTTTATATTTTATTGTACATAGTATTTTATAAAATTAATGTAACTATATACAGGGCTGGTAGTGGTGTAAGCTATTTAAAAAAAGTGACTGAATTAATTTATAAAAGTGACAAAAAAGTGACCTGCATAAATTTGTTTCATAACAACTTGTCAACTTACCAGTTATTAAACATTAATTATTTTTGAATCTCTACATACCTATAGTTTAATTGATTCTTACTTACTTAATTTTGTAGAAATTACAAAAAATAATGATTATAATAAACACAAAATTTAATAGCAAATAATTAAATAATATTACCTGTTTAAATGAATGATGTTTATAATATAGAATAATATTCAAGATCATTATTTTGGAACTTCCTTTATTTTAATCATAAGTACAAAACTATGTGATATAAAATCAATACGCCGTATTGGTATTGCCCGTATTATTATAAATAACTGATGTCTATTGACATAATCACAACAAATTTGGGAACTAGGTATATTAATAATTATCGATCGCTGTAGCTATATTGCTATAAATACATTGATTGTTTAAATAATAAATTTCAAACAGCATAATTATTATACTATAATAATATATACAATACTATTATACTAGATTATATTAAGTATATAATACTGTTATAAAAATAATTTAAAGTATACAATTTTAAAAAATCATAAGTAAAGACATTTGCGGCCCTGGACCCCGTTCTGTTTGTACGTAAGTGTATGATTTAACTCAAAAAGTACCAAAGTTATACCAAGTTTGACGTTTTTACTTAATTCCACCTATAAATCCTAACCTAACCTAACCGTACTAAAATCCGATGAATAAAAAAAACCAAATTGAACCCTTTTTAAATTAGCGTATCTTCTTCCCATAGGTCTAATCTACACACCGTCATTCATTTATATATAAGATATATTTACAAAAAATAATAATACAAATCAACAAACATGCCCGATTAACCAATAGCAACCAATATAATATAATACTAAATACACCATAGAGTAAATAAAGACAACGGTATCGAGTTCAAATCCCAGCCATCAATAAATAGTTTTTGCAGTTTTTCTAATTATTCGATTGACTTTTTCGTAAAAACCTTCACCTGGCAATTACGAACATCTTTAAAAAAATTTGAGCAAAATCGGCCCAGCCGTTCTCAACTGATGCAATTTCGAATTTTTTGTCTCCATTTTTATATATACAGATTTATAATTTCTATAACTAATCCTAATTCATAATGATATTGTACACAAACGGTGACCCGTGAAGCCGTTTGATTTTTATAGTCAGGCACGGCGCCAAGGGGGGGCAAGGTGGGGCTCTAGCCCCCCCAGAAAACAGATCAGCCCCCTCGCCAGCCCCCCCACTGAAAAATATGTACGATATAATTAATGTTTGTTGTATACAGTTAAAAATATTTTTAGTTGACTTATTATTTTAAATATGTTTATGTTTGATTAACACAATACTATTGTGTAAGGAGTTGGTATTCGTACCTACCCACTTATATTAGTTTAGTAATATTAGCATGACAAATTTCTTATTTAAAATAATTAAATAATTTATTCAATTTTCTTATTTTGTTATTTTTATAATCTTATTTGTCATGGTAATTAGTTCACATATTACTTGATAATTAATAAAAAAAAAGGATTTCTTAAAGTATCTATGTTTTAATGTATACATGCCTTGTATATAACCTTGTATATATGAACTATTTTAACCTCAAAAATTTAACAAAAAATATAAAGTAGGTACTTCAATAGTCAATACATACACTACTATGCAAATACCAATTAAAAAATGTATTGAATTAAAAATTTAAAATGTACTAGTTAAATATAAGGTAGGTAATCAAAAGTTTTTATTTAAAACAAATTGTATTCCTACTGATATCAGTGCAATTGTATACATTTTTGTTAACTTTTTCAATATTATAAGATTTTCAATCATTTACTGTATGGTGCATAAACAGATATTGTATAAAAATCAATATTTAGCTCATAAAGAAATTATTATTTTTGTATATCATGTTATCATTATGAATATAGTTGTTGAAGGTCTTAGGTCTGTGATTAAACATTTTCTTACATATTACAAAAGGTACAAAAAAAATATTTGATATTATTCTAAAAACATTTTTAACTATTCAAAAGTTTGTAAATATTATATGTTTAGACGTTTAGAGCATACAATATAAAACGTATGTACTATATTAATAGCTATATTATGTTATATGATACGAAAATATTTATATTTCATTTAAATAACCTCAGCATTTGTTGAAACAATTTTAGCCCATGTAAAAAAAATATTTGCCCCACTCTGCCCCCCCAGGAAAAAAATTCTAGTGCCGTGCCTGTTTATAGTAACAGCCAGACTTGTTATTATCGACGGAAATCAAAACGTCATACCTACCAGCACATTATTATGTTGCATAGAGTTGCAATTACTGTATAGGTTTATGCACTATGCTATGTTGTATCCGTTTTGCTGACGCATAATATATGATATATATCAATATTTAAACATTTTAAAAATGTATTATAATAATGTTCTGACCAAGGTGGATTGATATCAATCCACCTTGGTTCTGACATTTAAATTTAATAATAGGTCAATTCACTCCTTAGGGCTTAGATCATATACTTAGTATAGTTTTATGTATTAATTTTATGTACGAATCATACGAGTAAACATAAAACAACTCATCGGCGAGTGCATGGTAATACACATGACAAATTAAATTTAATTTGTCATGGTAATACATACATTATAGTATATTTATGCCATGGGCGAGTGCAAGAAAACTATACGTCTATACTGCACCAATGTAAAAAATTATAGAGGGTTCGTTTGAAACATTGCACGCATGCCTGTTGTACATGTTTCGTCTCGACGACGGATTTCGTACGGCGTGGCGGGGTTTGGGGTAGTGGTAGCGGTAAGTGATAACTGATAACATTGTTTCCGTGGTGCTACCATGTACTATTTGAAACGCATAAAATCTAAATATAGTACAAGACGTTTATTACGAACATTGTATTATTCTGTGTTACGAATTACGATGCTTTATATAAGTATATAACGATACGTCGATGTCCCGTGTACAACGATTCCCAGCTATGTAATTGATTGGTTTTAAATCTCACGTGTAGTATGTTTAGTCATTCGGATATAACGATCTTATTTTCTTGGTTCCCTCAAAGGTCGTTATAAGCGAATATTTTTATGAAATAACATGCGCAATCAACTAGAAAATCGACTATATGTCAAATATCACAAAAAACTTGTGGCTTACTTACTAAGAGTCCTACTGATTACCAGTGTTGGCCTGGCACACCAAAGGTCCATGGATCAGTTTTTTAAGCGGCCCCATAGTGAAATACAAAATTTACCTGACATTTAGGTGAGAAAATGCTCACCAAATTTCTTCCTTTAAAAATACATTTATTGAAATTCTGATTTTCAGAACTTTTAAGTATACCTAAACACTATATACTCAAATTCCTGATATTCTTTGTATTACTATTAAAGAGTATCCTGTGGCAATACAAACTTCTATTTTTCAAATGAGAATTTCCTTTTTCACTGCAAATTATTTAGCATAATATGATGTTATTGTAAATGTATATGTATCTAAATCAAAATTCTCATAATAGTAGTTGCTGAATTAATAAAATGTGTAGGGTAATAATCCTTGGAATATGGTTTACAATAAAAAACTATAAGTACCTACCTACCTAATAATAGATGTAGTACCTACCTATTCACTATTATCAGTATACCTACTTAATAATTTTTACAAATTATTTATCTTGATAGATCAATGGTAATTAGTACTAAGTACTAACAACTAACTACTAAGTACTAACATTTTCAAATCATCTAAGCCCTCAAATCTACTTAGCTAATTTCCATATTATACGTATTATCCTTAGTACACAAATTTAACCTGGAACTCGAAAGTCGAAACTACTAGTTCGAATTTTGATTTAGATGCATCAAAGTTCTCAAAAAATATATATCTGCTGAATAATAAATTTAATATATTACATATATTAATTAATTATAATTTAATATATATATGAATAATATTTTTTTTTTATATATTTGAAACTACGAAATAATCAATAATTATTATTAATTACACAAGAATGAAATTACGAAAAACAAAATTATGTTTATATTACCTATATAATTTTAACTTTGAAGACAATTAATCCATAAGCTATAAGCATAATATTATTCAAGTAAACGTTTTTATTCCAACTTTGCCCTCGAAAAACGGGCATTGTGCCCGGTAATCGGGTAGCGTTGCAAAAATTTGAAAAGTACTGCATTGATTCATAATTTTTTTTAACCACATATTTTTTAAACGAGATGCATTGTAAAAAATAACATTGCCCATTGGTAATACACGACACACGTTTTAGTTTACATGGTGTTGAATCGACAAAGTTTGAAATTGTATTTGTCAAAATATACGTCATTGAATAAAATTCAAATGAAACGAGATTTTAACCTTTTCAGATATTCAGAATATTATGAAAATAATATAGTAACTATTTGCTACAGTGCCGGCGCTTGGTATTGTGGGGCCCTGGACATAAGTAATAGGTACCCAGAGTATGAAGGCAAAATTTTAGCTTTTTTAAATCAGGATTTTTTAAAATTAATGCTGTTCTTATTTGAATTTTAAACATTAAAAATAATAATATCAGATTATTCTTTTCCTTTTTTTGTATTATAATGTTTTAACAAAAAATTATTTATAAATAATAAAATAATGGGTTAAAAATTATAAGTTAATAAATTCGTGGGGGACTTATTATTTTATTAATTTATATTTATTTTAATAATTCCAACTTATGAAAACATCAATAAAAAATAAATAAAATCATCAAAATGTTTGAATGATATAATAAATTGTTTAGTACCTAAGTACGCGGCGGCGGTAGACAATATAATATATTAAAACTAATCCTGATACACTACATACACTGAAATTTAATGCTAGCATCCCGAATACCGTGATTATAACTTATATTACTACTACCTTAATATTTCCATAATACCTAATTAAATTTATTAAAAATTCAAAAACATATCTATGTTAAGTCCTTCGACTCTTTCCGGAACACTGCCGGAAAAATCAAAAACCGCGCGCGCGTATACGTTTCGCATCATACCGGCATTAGTCCCCTGACGCGCGTATACGTTTCGCGTCATACCGGCATTAGTCACCTGGCGCTTTCGTTTACTAAGTACGGTTACTTAGAAAGCCCGGTGGTTCTTGGAATTTATCTCGTCGGGTAGTAAATTTTCCTGGCTTTCCGAATATCTATGTTAAGTCCTTCGACTCCTTCCGGAACACTTCGGGAAAAATCAAAAACCGCGCGCGCGTATACGTTTCGCGTCATACCGGCATTAGTCACCTGGCGCTTTCGTTTACTATGTACGGTTACTTAGAAAGCCCGGTGGTTCTTGGAATTTATCTCGTCGGGTAGTAAATTTTCCTGGCTTTCCGAATATCTATGTTAAGTCCTTCGACTCCTTCCGGAACACTGCCGGAAAAATCAAAAACTGCGCGCGCGTATACGTTTCGCGTCATACCGGCATTAGTCACCTGGCGCTTTCGTTTACTATGTACGGTTACTTAGAAAGCCCGGTGGTTCTTGAAATTTATCTCGTCGGGTAGTAAATTTTCCTGGCTTTCCGAATATCTATGTTAGGACCTTCGACTCCTTCCGGAACACTGCCGGAAAAATCAAAAACCACGCGCGCGTATACGTTTCGCGTCATACCGGCATTAGTCACCTGGCGCTTTCGTTTACTAAGTACGGTTACTTAGAAAGCCCGGTGGTTCTTGGAATTTATCTCGTCGGGTTGTAAATTTTCCTGGCTTTCCGAATATCTATGTTAAGTCTTTCGACTCCTTCCGGAACACTTCGGGAAAAATCAAAAACCGCGCGCGCGTATACGTTTCGCGTCATACCGGCATTAGTCACCTGGCGCTTTCGTTTACTATGTACGGTTACTTAGAAAGCCCGGTGGTTCTTGGAATTTATCTCGTCGGGTAGTAAATTTTCCTGGCTTTCCGAATATCTATGTTAAGTCCTTCGACTCCTTCCGGAACACTGCCGGAAAAATCAAAAACTGCGCGCGCGTATACGTTTCGCGTCATACCGGCATTAGTCACCTGGCGCTTTCGTTTACTATGTACGGTTACTTAGAAAGCCCGGTGGTTCTTGAAATTTATCTCGTCGGGTAGTAAATTTTCCTGGCTTTCCGAATATCTATGTTAGGACCTTCGACTCCTTCCGGAACACTGCCGGAAAAATCAAAAACCACGCGCGCGTATACGTTTCGCGTCATACCGGCATTAGTCACCTGGCGCTTTCGTTTACTAAGTACGGTTACTTAGAAAGCCCGGTGGTTCTTGGAATTTATCTCGTCGGGTTGTAAATTTTCCTGGCTTTCCGAATATCTATGTTAAGTCTTTCGACTCCTTCCGGAACACTTCGGGAAAAATCAAAAACCCCGCGCGCCTTTACGTTACGCGTCATACCGGCATTAGTCCCCTGACGCTCGTATACGTTTCGTGTCATACCGGCATTAGTCACCTGGCGCTTTCGTTTACTAAGTACGGTTACTTAGAAAGCCCGGTGGTTCTTGGAATTTATCTCGTCGGGTAGTACATTTTCCTGGCTTTCCGAATATCTATGTTAAGTCCTTCGACTCCTACCGGAACACTGCCGGAAAAATCAAAAACCGCGCGCGCGTATACGTTTCGGGTCATACCGGCATTAGTCACCTGGCGCTTTCGTTTACTATGTACGGTTACTTAGAAAGCCCGGTGGTTCTTGGAATTTATCTCGTCGGGTAGTAAATTTTCCTGGCTTTCCGAATATCTATGTTAAGTCCTTCGACTCCTTCCGGAACACTTCGGGAAAAATCAAAAACCCCGCGCGCCTTTACGTTACGCGTCATACCGGCATTAGTCCCCTGACGCTCGTATACGTTTCGTGTCATACCGGCATTACAAACCTGGCGCTTTCGTTTACTATGTACGGTTACTTAGAAAGCCCGGTGGTTCTTGGAATTTATCTCGTCGGGTAGTAAATTTTCCTGGCTTTCCGAATATCTATGTTAAGTCCTTCGACTCCTTCCGGAACACTTCGGGAAAAATCAAAAACCGCGCGCGCGTATACGTTACGCGTCATACCGGCATTAGTCACCTGGCGCTTTCGTTTACTATGTACGGTTACTTAGAAAGCCCGGTGGTTCTTGGAATTTATCTCGTCGAGTAGTAAATTTTCCTGGCTTTCCGAATATCTATGTTAAGTCCTTCGACTTCTTCCGGAACACTGCCGGAAAAATCAAAAACTGCGCGCGCGTATACGTTTCGCGTCATACCGGCATTAGTCACCTGGCGCTTTCGTTTACTATGTACGGTTACTTAGAAAGCCCGGTGGTTCTTGGAATTTATCTCGTCGGGTAGTAAATTTTCCTGGCTTTCCGAATATCTATGTTAAGTCCTTCGACTCCTTCCGGAACACTGCCGGAAAAATCAAAAACCGCGCGCGCGTATACGTTACGCGTCATACCGGCATTAGTCACCTGGCGCTTTCGTTTACTATGTACGGTTACTTAGAAAGCCCGGTGGTTCTTGGAATTTATCTCGTCGGGTAGTAAATTTTCCTGGCTTTCCGAATATCTATGTTAAGTCCTTCGACTCCTTCCGGAACACTTCGGGAAAAATCAAAAACCGCGCGCGCGTATACGTTTCGGGTCATACCGGCATTAGTCACCTGGCGCTTTCGTTTACTATGTACGGTTACTTAGAAAGCCCGGTGGTTCTTGGAATTTATCTCGTCGGGTAGTAAATTTTCCTGGCTTTCCGAATATCTATGTTAAGTCCTTCGACTCCTTCCGGAACACTTCGGGAAAAATCAAAAACCGCGCGCGCGTATACGTTTCGGGTCATACCGGCATTAGTCACCTGGCGCTTTCGTTTACTAAGTACGGTTACTTAGAAAGCCCGGTGGTTCTTGGAATTTATCTCGTCGGGTAGTAAATTTTCCTGGCTTTCCGAATATCTATGTTAAGTCTTTCGACTCCTTCCGGAACACTTCGGGAAAAATCAAAAACCCCGCGCGCCTTTACGTTACGCGTCATACCGGCATTAGTCCCCTGACGCTCGTATACGTTTCGTGTCATACCGGCATTAGTCACCTGGCGCTTTCGTTTACTATGTACGGTTACTTAGAAAGCCCGGTGGTTCTTGGAATTTATCTCGTCGGGTAGTAAATTTTCCTGGCTTTCCGAATATCTATGTTAGGACCTTCGACTCCTTCAAGAACACTGCCGGAAAAATGAATAACCACGCGCGCGTATACGTTACGCGTCGTATACTCGTATGGCTGTTATGTATAGTGCTATGGCCTGGCTTTGCGGCGTCATTTTACAATACTATGATGGGTAGGTGACCCTATAATATTTCGTAACAATTTCTTTACTGCTATCTTGTGGTTAGAAATAGAAGTAGACATACAAACGGCAATATAAACGTTGTGCGCCTAGAAAATACTGTAATGCAACCGAGCATACAAGGTTTCTTATCAGTAAAAATTGGTCACCTAGCTTTGGTCACCCAACTTCACACTCGTGAAAAAGCTAATGCAATAATACTTGAGGGTTACGTGTAGTGCTGCAGGCTCCTGCTTGTCTATGGCTGAAGCTCACGATTAAAGATCTGCTATCGAAAAACTTTCAAATTTCAATGCGCCATTCCGATTTGTTATCTATGGCCACCCTACCTACTGCCATCTATTGGTGATTTAATTTTAGATAATTTCTGAGTCTGTATTTCTTAATCGTTTGTCTTTAAAGTTTATATCATAGACCATACTAGTAACTAATTTAAATCTGAGTTGTTTTTAAGAAAAGTAAAGTAGTTAAAATAATTACCATGTGTAAGCACAATCGATTTTAGCACTTTCAGTGCTATCGGGTGTATCTTAGATTAACTATCGATATTACTACTGTACAACCGGTAGAAAATAGAAATAGTTCAATAATAGACCCATTTGAAAGTAATATCAATATTGAAATTCGAGTGCTCGACCGTTCGAGAAAGGGTTTGTAAAAAACAAAAACATTCGATTTACCTACTTAATTTATTCCCGGTTAGGTACGAAGACGATCAGTGTCCAAAGAGTTCACGATTGTCCGTGACGGTTTGTGAAGGGCAAATGATAAGAAAAGTAAATCGATTATAAACTTTCCTCTTTCGTAGTTTCGTCCCGTTTAGATTTAGCCGACAGCAGTTGTTGAGTACTTTTCAATACTCTTCATTTGTCGACTGACTTGTTGTCTCTTCACTCGCCTAACGCTTAACATTTTTCACTAATAATTGGATCGTTTCTCATACAACTTACGATGGCACTTAACAAATTAAGCATCAAGAGTTTAGAAGTCGCAAACAAACGGGTTTTGATCAGGTAAATATAATTTGTTAGGTATACCCAATATCCGTGTAGGTAGGTACTTGTTCTTTGATGTTGAAAACAAGTCAACTTTTGGAGTCATAGTGTGAAACCATGCCTTTATGCCTGATATTATCGAGTTTTGATATGAAAGGTCAAACACCTAATACCTAATACCCATCTATTATATTATTTCTTATGATTTGTTATTATTTAATTGAAATTAGAATCCTTTTTATTCCCCAGTTGGTTTCTGGACGTCGCTCTCTTCAACCTAAACAGATGGTCTCCCACTTAAAAAAATTATAGTTAAATTATTATTTACTTCTCATATTAGTGTTGAAAATTAAAAACAGTATACCCGCATAGGTCGAAGTCTGGTCTAGGTAACCTTACTATATAAATGTATAACCTAACCAAATATGGATGTAACACGTTGGTGTTTATCTACCTCTAAATTATGACTGTTAATACTTATTAAAAACCAATTAAATACCTACCTAGCTTATCCACATCTATTAAAATTTCCAGTAGACTGTAACAATTTAGTAACAATAATAACTCTAAAAATTGTATTTGTTATGAGTATAGTTAATTTTTATTTTAAGATTTATCATTGTGGTATTGCTATCTCCAACCTTCCTGAATATAGCTTGATTTAGTATTTTTATTTCTAACTTATTTTTATAATGTGAAAATTTCTTAAATAATAATTATAGTATCAATTAATATACCTAAATATTTATTTTAAAAATGAAAAGAATTATAAATGTAATACATACCTACAACTTAAAGGTAGTTGTTATTTTTTATGTTGTAGCATTTAATAAAATACTGGAAATACCCTAAATGATTATTCCGTGTTTTAAAAATGGGTATTGCTAAGCATTAGGTTGTATCTAGAAATCATGTAATCAAATTTTGATGAAACCAAATTTTGCAAACTTATGTGAAAATAATTTTGTCTTATTTATAATAGGTAATGTGCATTATTCTGTAGGTACCTAATTTATAATAATTACCTATAATTGTTTAGTTTCAAACATTTGGAAATAATAATTATTCATTACTGTGTGAACATTTTATACAAGTAGTTACTAATTAGTGTCTTAAAAATAATAATACCAGTTTATATTCATAATAAATTTAAAGTACCAATGCCAAGGCCCCATTTCAATATTTTTAAATTTTGCAAATTTCAATCAAATTAGGTACATATTTAAATCTGTCAATACTTCAATAATCATACAAAATTATTAAATTACTTTTTTTGGAAATAATTCAAATTCTCTCACTTATATATATTTGCAATTAGTGATTTGTTAATCAATTTAGGGCCGTTCTTACAATTTCCGGTTAAAGTTAACCGACACTCAACAGAATTCTATGTCCGGCTGAATGTTGCAAACATTTATTACATAATATGGATCCACCTTTAATATTCATTGATTTGGTATATTAGTTATGTAGGTTACATAGTGAAATGTAACTAATTGGTCATCTTAATTCCTTTAGGCTTAAATATACATTATTATAATATAATCATTAAGTAAAAATCTTCAAAATATAATTAGATTAGTATTCAGAGGATGCCACACCCATATGTATTGTCTAAGTCTTACAAACATACCAAATTTTTGTTCAGCAGTGGGCAATTCCAATATAAGAGTGAACTGACATATTATGATCAAACTTAAAACTAAGAACATTATCTGTATTTTTTATGGTCTTTTTTTACAATATTTCAATTTTGAAGCAAGTATTTTAAAAATATCATAAAAAAATAAAGATAATGTTTTTACCTTTAAGCTTGATAATATGTCAATTCACTATATTAAAGGTTAGGTTAATTGAAACTTCTAAACTTAAATTTGTTTTGCTATACATTTGTAAGACTGAAACATCACATAGGTACCTATAATTTATAGTTTTTAAGGCTTTTAATAGATGATACCTAGTAATAATAATTTATATTTTATAATTTCAGAGTTGATTTTAATGTTCCGTTAAAGGATGGAAAAATAACCAACAACCAACGTATTGTTGCTGCATTAGATAGCATCAATTATGTCCTTGAAAATGGTGCCAAATCTTTAGTTCTCATGTCCCATCTTGGACGCCCAGATGGATTACCAAATTCAAAGTACTCTATGAAACCAGTTGCCGAGGAGCTCCAGAAACTCCTTAATAAGTAAACTACTGTCTTTATTTTATTATAGTGTTTTTTTTAAAACAAAAATCTACCAATATTGAAAATGAACTATAAAGTCAGTGTTATATATTTTATTTAACTATATAATTTCTATAAAATGGTTAAATACTCAAAATAAAATAATAAGCTTTTAAACAATATATTATAATATAACATAACATGAGGTACAAAAAATCCTCAAATAACACTGGTATATACCTAGATTACTTAGATAAATATAAATATGGGATATATTAGTTATAGGTTATAACTTATAATAAATCCTTATAAAATTGTGTTGTCTTTAATTCTTCATTTTCCTTCATTCCTTATAGAAACAAATCCTTATCCTCAATTATGAAAGATTGTTTTGATCAAATAAATGAAAGTAAAAAGTAAATAATTATTTATTGATTATATTTTTAAATAATTACACATTAAACGTATTTTTTAGGAATGTTACATTTTTGGCTGACTGTGTTGGCCCAGAAATAGAAAAGGCTTGTGCAGATCCAGCTCCTGGCTCAATATTTCTTTTAGAGAATCTTCGATTCCATATTGAAGAAGAAGGAAAAGGTGTAAATGCTGCTGGAGAAAAAACTAAGGCCGACAAAGAAGATGTGAAAAAATTCAGAGAGTCATTACAGAAATTGGGAGATGTGTATGTCAATGATGCTTTTGGTACTGCACACAGAGCTCACAGCTCTATGATGGGTGAAGGTTTTGAAAAGCGTGCAGCTGGAATCTTGTTGAACAAAGAGCTCACTTATTTCGCTAAGGCTTTAGATAATCCTGAAAGGTATTAAATTTAATTTTTCTTCCCCACTACCAATATATAATTTTAAATTAAATTAATGTAAATAGTTGTACATGTACTGATCTAAATAATTGTGTTGTAAAACTATTTACCATTTGATACAAAATATCTGCAAACAAACTTATCATTTAATCAAATTAATTTTAATAGGTTTTCATAATTATTAATTTATGTTATATTAAATCATAATATATGTTAACATCATGTAGATATACGGAGTAAGTTATAGTGTTTTTTCAATAGATATGTATTTTATAACTATAACTTAATTTTAAAATTGAAAATAATTACTGTGTTATCATTTAAATTTTTATATTTTTCACATAACCTAATGGTTTTAATGTTTTTATTTTGATTCTCATATACTATACATTATTAATTTATAAATCATGATATAAACAAATTTGAGATGATCAATTTAGGTTTGCACATAATTTGTTGGATAATTTTAAAATACCCCAAATAATAAATTAAAAAGTATATTGACGTTATTACTTATTTATTTTAGACTTGAATGTAGTTTAATGGATAAATTAAATTGTTTGATGTAATTTATAATAAAATTAATTTATATGTTTATTATAGGCCATTCTTAGCTATCTTGGGAGGAGCTAAAGTTGCTGATAAGATTCAACTTATTGAAAATCTTTTAGATAAAGTTGATGAAATGATTATTGGAGGAGGTATGGCTTATACTTTCTTGAAAGAGTCAAAGGGCATGAAAGTAAGTTTAATAAATAATACAAATTAAGTATTAAGGATATCTCTTAGTGATAATTTAAATTAATTTTAGATTGGCGATTCTTTATATGATGAAGCTGGAGCAAAAATTGTTGGAAAATTATTAGAAAAAGCTTCTGCTCGCAATGTTAAAATTCACTTGCCAGTTGATTTTGTTACGGCTGATAAATTTGATGAAAATGCTAATACTAACTCTGCAACTGTTGAAGAAGGAGTTCCTGATGGTTGGATGGGTTTGGACTGCGGACCAGAATCTAGGAAATTGTTTTCTGAACCAATTGCTCGTGCTAAGGTCATTGTATGGAATGGGTAAGGAATTAATGATTTAGTAAAAGGTTATATTTTAAGTTAACAAACTGATTAATAATTATTTAAATTTTGTACATTCCATTAATAAAAAATATAATGATTAACAGTTTTTGTACACGAATATAATATTTATATACAATTCATTTTTTTATTAGGCCTGCTGGTGTTTTTGAGTTTGATAAATTTGCCTATGGCACTAAAGCCTTAATGGATGATGTTGTTAAGGCAACTAAAAATGGAACTGTCACTATAATTGGTGGTGGTGATACTGCTACATGTGCAGCTAAATGGGGTACAGAGAGTCAAATAAGCCATGTGAGCACCGGAGGTGGTGCAAGTCTTGAACTGCTTGAAGGTAAGTTTTGTTAAACATATTAGAAACAAAACTGGATATAATATGCGTATTTATATTTTTTAATTATTAACTATTATTATAAGTATAAAACACATAAGTCAAGTTTTTATTTTTTTAATTAACAACATGTAAGTTTAATTTCATGTTCCAGACTAAAATATTTTTTCTGAGAATTATGATATATAAAAATTGAATTATGAATATGAAATTAAAAATATATATAATATATTTACTATTATTCAAATTCAAAATTCATAAAAAAAAAAGTTTAAATTAACTTTCCATTAAAAATTATTGTTTTGTTATGATTTCAAATTATGTAGTAAAAATATTTCGATAAACTTTAATGGTTTCCAAAATAATGAGTGTTTAAGGTTAACATAAAAAAATTAAATAAGCATTATACGTAAAATAATTTAATCTAATTTTATTTTATTTAAAAAATTGCTTTTATTTTTTTTTAGGAAAAGTCTTACCAGGAGTTGCAGCTTTGACTGATGCATAATTGTCTAAAATTTACCTAGTGTGTTAAATATTTACAATACAATATGTGGTTTATTTATTTTTATTTGTTATTTTATATTCACCTTTAGTTGTCCAATTTATTATTGTGCATGTAAATTTTAAATTCAAATTCCTGTTGTTTAATATGTTATGTTATTCATTATTATTTACTTTTCATAGATTGGATATTTATTGTTTTGATACAGTAAATACAAAAAAAATACCTAGTTATTTTATATGACTGCTAAATTGATTATTAGATAAGTAAAAGGTTAGGTTAGTACCTGATTTAATAATAAACTATATACTAAAAATTATTATTATTTCTATTTTATACTATACATAATTCTATACGGCTATACAGTATTCAAGCAATAAGAGAATGGGTACTTTTCTGTTATCTTGACTACCTTGCCGACGCCAATTTAGATAAAATCGATAGTAAATCGTAGACATGGGTATAAATATAAAAATACCTCACCGATAGTCGACAACTACTGTACAGCAGAGCGGTATGCACTTGTCCACCTTTTATTTATATATATATATATATATATATATATATTTAAAATCTTGATGATTTGATGTTTTATATACAGTAAAACTCGCTTAAGACGCTCTTTAAGGGACCAGCTCTCTAGAGCGTTTTAAACGGGAAAGCGTCTTATGCGGGAATGGAATAGGGATATCGATGATATAGGGACCGACGGCAAATAGCGTCTTATGCGGGAAAGCGTCTTAAGCGAGTTTTACTGTATTATATAACTCTCCACCACCTACTGTGATAATTTATGTGATAACTGATAATAAATGTTATACTAATATACATTATATTGTATAAATGGCAATTCATGTATTAAAATATGGAACTATCAGGATAGTAGGTACTATATAGTAGTCAAGTTAACAGAATTGAGTAATCGTGGTAGTTGTGGCATCGAGCGGTAGTAGGGATAACAGAAAAGTACCAAAGAATAGAATCTTGACACCTATTACATACGCTTCAGGATTTTGGTTGTATCAGATCAGGAAGTGGTACAGGCACAGCACACAAAATTGAAAATAAATTAAAGATTCATTATTTTAACATTCAACTCAAATAATATAATAAAATCAATATAATCATATAATCAATTATTGAAATATCTTACATATCAGTCATCAACACTGTGGGCTTTCAAAAAAATTTGGTGATTTCATTTCTATTTATTGAAATATAAATTAGAATTCCCATTTTTTATTCCTTACAGTATTAAATACTATTAATACTTTTATGAGTTACATCAAACATTTTTAAGCATATATTGCTTCATATTATAATCATAGGTAAAACATCTCCACTCCACTTGAACTGTGTAAACTAAACAATTTTTGTTCACACATAAAAAAATGTTAGCATGGATTAAGGTACATGGTTGATATAAATTACTTGAAAATATTTTATATTTCCTTTATAACTAACTACTTAAATCTATATTATATATTATATTATAAAAGCAAGTACAGATTTTGTGTCACTGGTTGGTTCCGAAACGGCTGGACCGATTTTGTTGATTCTTTTTTTGTTATGTTCGCAATTGTCAGGACAAGGTACTTATGAAAGAAAATTTTAGGAAAAGTAGGAAATCAAAAATACAACAGGGGCGCCACATGTAAAAATGTAACAGAACCATTAATAATAAGTGTAAACCGCACTGGAATATTTAGCTTAGAAAATCATTGTGAGGCTTACACAGCGGATAACGAAATTAAATTAGGAAAATAAGTATAAACATATATAAAAAGTGGGTGTCGCTCTACTGTACAGTAGGTTACAAGTGGGTCACTGTATAATGGATGATATTAAATTTGAATTCAACGATATAATATCATTGTATAAGAAAAACGATTCTGAGCGGAGACGGTATGTCAGTCTATGTATAAGGCATATATTATATACATATCTATGGTATTAAACAAAAAATTGACCTATAATAAATTCCAAATTAATCATATCACAATATCCATTAGGTACTTATAAGCGTTATACATCAAAAAAAACCGTGATACTATCATAGATATATAATAGTACACTTTAGAAGTTTCAAGTACCCACGAAAAATATTATTCAATCACAACAAAATAACTAAAATAGTTATTCTAGGTTTTTTAATATGTAATTTCGTCCAAATTTGAATTTAAAATGTTTGTAAAAAATAACTGTGTTCATATATTTTTTAGATTTTTTGGTTACAGTATGAACTATTTACGAGAAACTTTGTGTTGAATTTGCAATCCTTAGCCATAAAAACTGAACATTTTATAATTTATTAATTACAATGATTGATAATTTTCGAGATTTTGATAAATTTTGTCAAAATTAGATCTTTAAATGCTTATAAAAAAAAACTGTGCCTATGTATTTTTAATATTTTTCAACTGATATTGTAACAATATATCAGGAGCCTTGTATTAAATTTTTAAACTTTTTGACCTAACAGATAAAACTTTATTGATATTTATAGGAAAAAAAACTAAAAAAAATTGAAAGCTGTAAATGTCCATAAACAGCTCAAAAAGAGTCAAAATATTTTCAAAATTGTATGGTGTATAGGAAATGCTAATATAAACATTCAGTGAAATTTTCATGTATCTACAATTATTCGTTTTTGAATTACAACAAAATAAGGAAATCGCTACATGAGAAATCGAGTGAACATTCAATGTTGTAAAAATTTGAATTTCAAACGCTCATAAAAATTTAATTTGACTTTCCGCCTTCCGCCGCTTCCGGTAGAGATTTTTTTATTGATAAAGGTAGACAAACTTATGAGTAATCTTGTATTACATTTTCAAATCTTAGATTTAAAAAGAAAAATTTTTACGAATTCTTAACTCAAAATAATTCGCTAATTTTCGTGATTTTTCCATATTTTTACAATTTTTGAACTTTAAATGCTTATAAAAAAAAATTGTGACTAAGGATTTTTAATATTTTTCATCTGCCTTTGAAAAAGTATACTGGGAGCCTTCTATTAAATTTTCAAGCTTTTTTGACCAACAAATAACATTTTATTGATATTTTTAGAATAAAAAAACTTAAAACATTGGAAACTGAAAATGTCCGTAAACAGCTCAAAATATATAAAAGAATTATAAGAATACACTTATTATCAATATATTGTAGAAGAGAAAAGGGGGTTCTGAATTATAGATGGGCCTATGCACGGCGTTGTTCGTCGGTAGTACACCAGTGCCGAAAGTCTAGTTGGGTTTCGTTAGGTTTAGTGAGGTTTAGTGAGGTTTAGTGAGGTTTAGTGAGGTTTAGTGAGGTTTAGTGAGGTTTAATCAAATACTATATACGATAATACAGGACACTGGCATATAAAAACTGGCGAATTATTTCTTATCATTGCCCCGCGAGATTGTTAAAGTAGTTGCCTATTTTACTCCTTGAAATGTTTATAAATACAAATTAATTTAGAACACCGATTTCATTTTATTGTTTATTTTCTAATACCAAATGCCAATCAACGATTATAATTTTTAATTAGAAATATTAAATTATTTAGATTTTAGATTATATAGTATTTGCATATTTACACATACTTAAAATCTCCATAAGTTCATAAATCCTAGTGGGAAATACGATACCTAAACAATATAATGTTAAATGTAAGCTTTATATTAGGTATTAATTAAATGTAATTCAAAACATATATTATACTTATATATTTTACTTTTTTCATAATAATTATACAACACAAATCAAAATATGAAATTATAACATAAGTGCTTAAAACTGATGGTGCTTAAAACTGAATATCTCTTAATAATAATTTTTCAATTAAATAAACATTGTACTCAAACGTGAACTACTTTTTTCAACTATTTATTTTTTGAACAATTATATTGGTTGAATCATTGCATTTCTTCACATAGCAATTAATACTCACATTTAAAAATGTATCCAAAAATTGAGAATTGCAGTCTTCACATATACTTAGTGAGTACCTTTTACAAATATGGCTTATAATAAGTTTAAGATCCTTTTTTAAATTAAATTTTTTTTTAGAATAAGGTTTTCAATGTTTGCATGAAAAAGTGCAGAAACATGTTTAGTAAATTCCAATGTTTTGGCAAGAGGATAAAGTAAACTGCAGCCATCAATTCCTACCGAGGAACTTGATAAATGATAATATTTATGATAAAAAACAAACAATATTACTATAATATTAGTAATTTAGTATTATAATAATATAATCGTATATAGTATTTGCAATTAATATTCAAAAAAAGCGGGAATTTATACCAGATTAAGGGGTAAAATAGGCAACTTTTATAACAATCTCGCGGGGCAATGATAACAATTTGTTCGCCACTATTTTAATACAGAGTGTCCTGTATTATCGTATATAGTATTTGGTTTAATGTAACCTACCGCTGCTAAAGGCATTGTCTGGTATTATTATTTACATAGATTTAAATAATTTCGATAACGGCAGCGCCATCTAACGTCGCCGAATAATTTTTAACACTTGAAGAACATTATATATTATAAAAACATTTATTATTAATTAAATTAATTGCCGCCACCAGAAAAGATCTTGGAATAAACTGCAAAATAAACAAAACACGCTTGACACTGATCATTGATAAGTGATAACAGATTATTTCTTGATAGATAGTGATAGACGTTGTACGAGCTTCCTAAATTCTGTTTAAACTTTAAACTGTAATATAAAGAGAAAAATAAACTTTTTTAATTTGCTTGTTTTACGTCGTCTGTGGTGTGCAGACGCTAGTCAAATTCCAAACTTCATTAATTCTGTGTTATGATCAGCCGTTAATTGTAAGTCAGTTCTAGTATAATAAATTAATGAACCAACTTTAGTTACCTAGATGTTTGTTGTAGGTATTTAGGTAACATGCGTCTTGATTTTTTTCAAAAGAATCGGATTGATCGGCGATAGCGAGTCGTTCATCTTCTTGTTATACTTAGGTTTTAATTGTTTTTTTGTGTGTTTTCAGTGCTTTGAAATATTGAATAAACATACATATTAATCATGTCAGAGAGCGTAGAAGTTCAAATTGAAGACCAGGAATTCCAATTGGAACCTGACAATGAACTTAGGTTTGAAGTTGAAAACAAAAATGAAACAGTTGTGTTAGAAGTAAGTGCCTCCTAAAGTCCTGCATATAAAATATGTTGTTTTACTAATTGTTAAATTGGCACGTCAATGTCAGTAACATCTGATACAAAATTATATTGTGAAGTTAGGTAGTAATGTAAATAAAATTGGACACACGTACACAGCTTTATATATTATTAATTTAAAATTATAATATCTTCTATGCTATTATTATTATCTTAGTATAATAGTATGGTATATTATTATAATAACAATACAATAAATTAAACAATTAAAAGATTAATAATAAATGCACTTCTATATTTTTTTAATAATTAGGAAGGTACATTTGAAAAGAATTAATATGAACTTATGCAATGTAATTGTTTAAAATGTATTTAAAATAAAATTGTATTTATTTCATGAAATAAAAATAAATATTGTTTAATTACAAGCGATCTTCATTTTTAAATGGAGAGTGAGCATCCTGAAACACTTATGTAAATATAAACATACTTAACGTGTAATAAGAAATGTGAAGGTTTTTAGACATATATATTCTGTTAAAGGTTATATACATAATATATTTATAGAGATTTTTTATTTTTTTAGTTGAAAACGGGGCTAGCAGAGATTTTTGGAACAGAATTAGTGAAAGGTAAATCGTATACGTTTTATTTTGGAGCAAAAATTGCGGTGTTTACATGGCAAGGGTGTTCATTAAAATTACGAGGAAAAAAAGGAATTAGTTATATATCCAAAGAGACCCCAATGGTAAGAATAATGATATTTTTAAATTAGTTTACTTATTTCTACTATTTATTATTCATTTTTACTATACTATGTTGTTTATGCATAATATTGTATCAATTATTTTTAAAATATTAAAACCACATACATTACTGTAAACTTTTCTTCAAATTTACTTAATAGTTTCATTGCAATTAGTTTAATTTATCTATTGGTAAATCTTTTTATCAAAATAAATATTTTTTGTTTAATCTTAAATGTTAAAGGAATGTTGCAGACCATTTGTTTCCCATCTAACTTATGTAAACATACCAAATTTGCATTTAGAAGAACCTTTCTTGTGAAGTTAGCTTTAATATTAAAATGATTTAACATTATTTTAAAACATAAAGTTTAGAACATTATCTCTGGTTGTTTGTTTGATTTTTTTAAGATATTTAAATGTTGATAAATTTTATGACTTATGACTATATGTATACTACAGAAAATTTAAAATATTTAAGAAAGCCAATGCCTAACAGAAACTTTTTTAAACTTAAATTAACTCTAACATTAAAGCCAACCACACAGGATTTGTTGTACTGAACGTACATTTCTATATTGCATCTAGATCGGACAAAGTAAACAAATACAATATCTCTCTCAAAGATGTATTTTTAATTTTTAATTATTTGATATTAAAAAAACTCATTCAAGTTTTTTAGTATTCACAGATTATATAATATAAAAACATCATTGAAAAGTAAAATAAAAAACAATTTTTGAATTAATTCTTATATTTTAAAACGCTTAACTAAATATCTAAAATAATGCAAAATATTTAAAAGCAGTTGTCTGTAATGTAACTCCTGATAAATCAATTTATTTTAGCCATATAGTTTTAGTTTTATTTATACCTTAAAATAATCTTTTGAGAGTAAAAAATAGCTCATATATTTTAATACTAATCAGCTGGAGGAACAAAAATTAACTGAAAAAAAAGCTTGGTAGATTTCAATATAAATATTAATAATTAATTATGTTTACAGTTATGAATGTCTGAATTATTTTTATTGGTTATTGTGCACATATTTTAACCGTGTTTAATCTTTTAGATGTTTTATTTAAATTGCCATGCTTCATTAGAACAACTACGAGTAAAATCAGAAAAAGAAAAGATAAGAGGTCCTGTTACAATGGTGGTCGGACCGACTGATGTGGGTAAATCTACTCTTTGTAGAATACTACTTAATTATAGTGCACGGATGAATGCTCTTGGCCGTAGACCCATCTATGTTGACCTGGACCCTGGTCAGGGACAAATATCAGTTCCAGGAACAATTGGTTTGTATAGATTTTAAATTCATCATAAGACAGTAATCCTAACAAGAATAATATTTTGTAGGAGCAGTCATGGTAGAAAGGCCAGCTGAAGTAGAAGAAAGTTTCTCTCAAGCAGCTCCACTAGTCTATCATTATGGACATACAAACATGAGCATTAATTCAACTTTGTACAACACTTTAATATCTCGTATGGCAGAAGTTATTCATCAACGAATGGATGATAATCCTAGAAGTAATTGTTGTCTAATAAATATTATTTTAATTTAGTTAATACTTTATATCATTATATATATTATACAGATGGCTACACAACAAAAGAGTCTAAGAGACGTAGCATATATTACTGGATAGTAGGAGATGAGCTCTATTATTGAAAATTTTACTATTTTATGATTTAAAGTGATATTGAATTTCAAAGTTTAGAATTTACATGATACTTCATGTGTAAAAAGAAATAATTTAACTTTTCCTGAATACCTTGAAAAACGTTTAGTCCCATTTGTCGTTTAACCATCGATATAATTAGAAAGAATATTTAAAAAACATTGGGTTGGTATGAAATTAATTGAGTTTTTGTTTAATTATAATAATTGGTTCAGTATTACTTCCAATATATTGTAAATATGTAATAAGTAAAACGTACTGTTTTTCTTCAAGCAATTTTTTTATGATAATAGCCAATTTATGACAATTTTAATTAAAACATAATACAAATAATTAATGAGTATTATGAGGAGCACGTATAAAGTTTGACTTATTCACAATTTTTATAATTTATAAATTTAAAAATAAATTACACTGATTTACTGTTTATTATTTTCCTGTAGAGTATAATGTATATTCATTATTTCAATGATATCTGATATTTTATTGATAGTCAATCAACAACTCATTACTGTGACTAAATAAATACAAACAACTAAAATTATATAGCTGACTCATTTGACATATTACTAATTTTAGTCCAAAAAATGTGTTTTAATTATAAATAATTTTTTTCCTAAATTGTATACTCTGATAATAATTAGTGTTAAAAAATATATTTGCTAATTTTTGATAGTATATTATGTTTTAATTGCTCTGATTAATTTTGAATTAATTTTATATTTACAGTTAACTGTTCTGGATTAATAATTAATACGTGCGGTTGGGTCAAAGGTAAAGGTTACCAGCATTTAACTCACATTGCACTTGCTTTTGAAGTTGATGTTATTCTTGTACTTGATCAAGAACGATTATATAATGAACTAGTGAGAGATATGCCAGTATTTGTCAAAGTTGTTCTTTTACCAAAAAGTGGAGGAGTAAGTATCATAAATAAAATTATTGGTACTTATCGGTTAATGTGGCTACCTTTATAATAGGTTGTAAGAAAAAATAATATAAATAGCTCTGCCTAATAAAACCTAATACGTTAAGCATAGGTCAAAAAACCAACACATTTATATAGGATTTGCTTTTTTTTTTTTTAAATATTTTACATTTCATTTCTAAAATATCTGTTTCCTATGAAAGATTTTAATTTGTGACCCACTTACTCTTTTTTTCGATAAAATACTATGGTCAATACTCAATGGAAAAGTCAGAAATTTTTATTTTTATGGTAAATCCTATATTGTTGAGATTAAAATGCTCGTTTGTTGTCAGTTGTAAATCGCCTTTATTTGCCTTAAGATTTGTTTGGCAGACCTAATTATACTATTTATCTTGTAGAGTGAAAAATTGTCTTAAAATAATAAAATTCAGTGTTAACCTGCAGTAGTCACAATAAGAGTATTATTATTTGTTATTGCAGTGAAACTTTTCTAATAAGGATCCTTTTTAAAACAGAAACCTATAAAAAATAAAGAAGTGAACTATTTTTCTTGGTCCTGGCATACAGTATAATATAAATATTTATCTCTGTCAAACAAAAGCAACAAAAGTTAATAATTGTGTATGTCTCAATAAATACTGTCTTCAACAAGTTTTAATCTTTTTTTTTTTTAAATGTATTCAATGAAAATTTATTTGTATAAGTATTCAACGCTTTTTAGAGCACGATTAAAACCTTTCTTATAAAAATAAAAAGTTGCATATTGTCATAATGATCATAAATAATGTAACAATTAAATTTAAAACATTTTATACCAACAGTAATATTACTATTTAGTATTTTTTAACCTACTAGTTTTTAATCAAAACAAAAATTAATTTTGTCTAATCACAGCCATGTTGTAATATTTGATTTTACTTCTATTGATTGTGTATTACAAAATTAGGCATATTATATAATACGTACACAGTTTAAAAAAAAACATTTTATTACATTGTAAAATTACATTAAATTTATTTTATAATTAGGTAGTTGAAAGGAGTAATAAGTTTAGATTGGAAGGTAGAGAGGCACGAATTCGAGAATACTTTTACGGTAGTCCTAGGAATGTACTTCATCCACACACCTGTGAAGTAAGGTTTTCCGACATAAAAGTATATAGAATTGGAGCGCCACCCATTCCAAATACATTGATGCCATTAGATATGCAAAAAACTGATTTAGAGACCAAACTTGAACCTGTTACTCCAGGTAAATATAAAATACATTTAGTGCGTATAAAATACTATTGTATTTTAATATATTGTATTAAAAATACTTTTCCATTAAGATTATTTTTTAAAAATATTTTGACATTTTTTACAGGGCCAAATATGTTGCATCACGTGTTAGCTCTGAGTTTTAGTACAATGGTAGAAGAAGACGTTGTTAGGACTAGTGTTGCCGGTTTTGTCTGCGTGTAAGTATTGTTTGGAATCATTCAATATAATATAACAACATTTTGATGTACAACAATTTTAATACATTTTTTTTTTATTTCTCTAGAACAAATGTCGACACCTCACGACAAATGTTAACTCTATTGTCACCTCAACCAAAACCCCTGCCTGAAACAATTTACCTCATGTCAGATGTACAGTTCATGGACAACAATGCTTGAAGCTGTGTGTTTGAAAAAAGCCTGAATAAATATTTTGTGTGTTAAATATAAATACTGTTAATGATTATTTTTTTAATACATAATATATTTTTCTTTGATTTTAATAGTAATTAATAAATCTCAGTGTGAGGTAACAATGTAATGTACATATTTATATTAGATTTAAATATGTAATTCATGTACTGACGTTTTATATTTCATTAGTATTTAAAGGACTTATGAGTATTATTATGAATAACTGCACTAGTCATTAGTGTCATTACATATTTATTTGATATAAAGTTCAATAACATACAAATGCTTATGTTTAAAAATATTACTTTTAATTATTGCAAGTAATATAATATTATTATTGTCATTAAAAAATTATGTAAATCCATTAAATAAGTGTCTAAACATTTTTCCAACCATTTTTATTTAACTGTTCAGTATGCGGTGAAATTGTTTATGGATTTAAGTAAACTGTAATAATTGATTACAATTGTAATTATTGACAGAATTCTATCCTTTAAAAATTAATTGACAATGCTGCAGAGGGATATAATTAAAATTAATATTACCAAAATTGAGAATTAATTAATAATTAGTTAAACATTTATCTTTATGAAAAATAATAAACTTACTAGTTTTACGTAGGTTAGTTAATTAATTTAATTTTCTAACTAATATAATATCATAATTTATTAGTTAATAGGATGAAACTATGTCAGTGAAATTGTTGTAAAATCTCTTCAAGACATCTGCACAATAGATAAAAAGCATTCACATAAAATTTTTTTTTATGATTGTTGAGTTATCTTAGAGTGAATAATTTATTACGAAAATTATAGGGGATAATATTTTTGAAGGTTTGACTTATCAGTTTTATATTTTATTATTTATGACTTAAATATAAAAAAAATATTGTAAATTTAAATAGATATTAAAGTTTTTAAGACATTATTATATTTAGATGGATCGATATGTTATTCCCTCAAAAATACTTAAGGTAGAAACTAGAAATACTATAGATAGTGCAATAAGCAGGAATGATATAGTATTACAGTATGCATATTGCATTTACAACAAAATAGTTACCATTAAAGTTGCACAATCAGTAATTACTAGGTTTAGTATACCACTATAGTACTATACCATACTAAAATGTATTAACCCGGTGGTAATTAAAAATGATATTCCCTTTGGAATTTCGATGTCTTCACCTGATATTTTTCACTTTATTAACTAAAGTAAACTATATTTACGGTATTTTAATGTTGTCTTATTATTATTATTACCACTAGGCACTAGTTCAAAAAATATCGTGTTTTATAAATTATAGCTATTATAATATTTTATTCATTCATTTATCCAGCGATTTATACGATATACTTGGACCAGTCTTGCCATCACCTGACATATTTGCGTTCCTCCAGGAGACCGGATTGGACAAACTTATTGAGCCAACTGAATACTCAACTTCATAATTAAGCTCATTTAATTTAGTCTAGATATTTGCTGTTATTAAAATTTTTCTATTTATCATGTAACACCTATTTGTAAAAAAAAAAAAATGTATCTTATCCCAATGGCCAAGTTGCCGAGGGTTATTTCTTTAATAAAAAAAAAAATATTTTATACGTTATATAACATGGTTGCACACTTGCACAATTGAATATTTATCAGAAAACGTCATACATTTATAGGGGATAAACAATTTTTTTTGATAATTTTCGCTTTAGAGATTAGGTGGGACGCGCGAACGCGATCCCCGCTACCAAAAATTACGCGTCCGAGGTATTCGCATTAGGAATACTCGCAGGGGTCAACCAGCCCGGTGTGCAATGGGCAAGTCTCGTCCTGGAGGAACCGCCTCGTTGATCACGGTTAACCTCGACGCCAAGTAAGTATGCCGCGCGGGTGCACGGACGTCGTACTTATAACAGCAGGCTTCCGCGCGATCGTTGCGGAAGTGCATGGTGTATCGACCTCAACAGAGCGCTCATCCGTCGGCTTCCGGTCCGGCCACTGCCTCCCAGAACGCGTTCCCGGCGCTGGGCCCCGATTTCCGGGACGCCGGCCACACGCCGCGCACGTTCCCCGAGGCCGGAACACCGGCCACGATCCGTCGGCCGACCGGGTCTCAAAGCGATCTCGTTCGTCAGCGCCATCTACCGCCCGTATTTGGCGAACTCCGGACGTCTACCCGTCTCCGCCAAATCGTTGCGAACGGTCTATTCGACAAGATTCAAATTATTATTGAAGTACCTAATTATTATTTATTTTACCGAATTCCGATATTCATTACAATTTTATAATTAGTTACGGTAGAAGAAGTTGACGACGACTGTTTTATTTATTTTTATTGTTATGCAAATCATTGTTCTAGCTGAAGTGCTTGCTGAAAAAATCAGACAAGTACACTTTTTGAACATTTTCAGGATCTCCTTTTCGACACAATAAAAGGTTTGGATTTTTTTTGTTAAAAATTATACTTATTTACAACATCAAATTCTATGAATACTAGTAACTAGTATACTACCATACTGGACATGTATGTGATGTATGGATACTGCTGGCTCATCTACATTCTATACACATTTTATGTAAATGGAATGAACTTGATCTGAAATGGACTTATCTGTTTGTCCCAACAATAGGGGCGTCATTTGAGGGGGGCAGGAGTATGCATTTGCCAAACCCTAGATTACAACATGTGTACATGTAATGCTATGTGATACAACATATAAATCGCAACTATAGCGCTTCCAGTGTATTTAACTGTAATATAATATTATAATGATAGTTGGGGGACCTAGTGAGCGACACAGTCGGCTTTTTATTTAATATATCCTTAAAAGTTGTATATTCTTATTGGCCCTACTCTGGCCAATATTGAAAAGACGCCCCAGCCCCAAAATCACCTACCTATCATTATTTTGTCTTTCATGAAAACATATTTGTTTTTTTATTTAAAGAAAAACAAATATATAATTATATACAATTATACATTTGATTTATCAATCTTCTGTAAGCTGTGCTTGTGGCGAAGATAGAGTGTTACAAAATTAATACTTTACTTAAAAACTAAAATTAAATACAACTATTACGTAATTATACAATAGAGAAAAAGAGAAAAAAGAAAATAGAGAAAGAAATCAATATCAATATCAATATCGTATATGATCTAAGGGTTACCTACAAAAGTGGGTATTAACTTAGCTAGTTAATTATTTTTGCTTTTAACTTCAGTAAAAATGTTTTTTATTGTTATATGTTTGTTTATTCACTTAGATAATATTGTATATGATCTAACATCTAAGGGTTACCTACAAAATGTGGACATCAACCATAGACCTGATAATAGGTCAATGGCATTAACTTAACTAGTTAATTATTTTCATTAACTTGCACACCTTTGGTACCTATAATTCTGGCTCCCTACTAGCGAGGTCTCTGCATGCCTATAATTATAATGCCTATGCTTACAGTTTTTGCAATCTGATTGATCAGAAAGTTACATTTTTGTGTTGCGATTGTAAATGTATTGTCAACTTGCGAGTATGCGATGATTAATGTGATTGAAGTCATGTATTTGAAGGCTTTAAAATGTTGGATGATAAAATTATAAGACAATAATACATACATTAGGTACCTATCACACAGAACAATTTCCTGGTAGGTACCTGTTATAAATAGGAAGTATTACCAAACAGAAAATATTTGCAAAGACTAGAGAATGCCATGGAGTTACATTTGTAGATTTCAATTACATAATTATGTGATAGGCATAATTTATTTACAATAATTACTCAAAATATAAATTATTATATATTATTTATATTGACCATGAAGAATATAACAATATTATTCACAGTATCAATTAATACAAATATACAATCTGTAGTTTTGATTTCAATTACAATGTTAAACAATTAAATTGAATTTTCTTTCAGCTAATATATTTTATTTATTTTAGTTATTTTAACCAATATTTATCGTTCGATGAAAGTAGGTTTCCTTAACATCGTTCATCATTCTCATCCGGAACGTTATCAGAAAAACGTTTTACTCAAACACTGTTTCCTTACGCTGCCGCTAGATGGCTACACAGTGTACATCGCATACGTGTATCATCTACCGAAAAACTTTTACCATAAAATCCAACGGAGGACTAAAAAATTCACGTTTAAAAACGATTATGAAATTCACAGACATAACACAATCACAATAATTTATTATTGTTATTATTATAATATACATCAAGCCATTTTACGTTAATGCAGTACAATATTTATCATGCCCCGCCACCCCGCCATCACGGTACTCTATGCTAACATCGTGAACGGCACCAGCAGAGCTGATGGTGGATTACGTTGTTCGTGCGAGTTTGACCAAGTCAATTTCGAACTGGTCTCACGCTGCCGTCGGTATTAGGATTTTACGTCTTTATAATATTTGATTTCGGTTGGGCGGACATTTTGTCGAGTCAAGTCGGCCGTCGTTGCGTGTACGATAAATGCGAAGCGTTTCGGAGCGGATTTCCTCGTCGCAGCGGTCGGCCGTCAGATGGCGCGCTCTTCAACGGTCGTTTGTAACTGGTCGGCAATCGACCGGCATCGGTCCGGAGTTGGACATTATGGGCCCGGGAACGGTGTTTTCCGGACTTTCGAACTCTAGTGTCCTGCCTTTAAAGGCTCTTTAAAAGGTATAAAGTCTAAGGTCACCGTTTCGGTGCGGAACGGTTGACGAAACATTCAGCGCGCTTCTCATGTCGGCCCCTCCTCCAATGGCATATAAGCTGTGCCGGCACACCGAACGAGCATACTTACCTGGCGTGGAGGTCAACCGTGATCAATCAGGCGGTTCCTCCAGGGTGAGGCCCGGTCATTGCACACCGATTGGGTTGACCCCTGCGAGTATCCCTAATGTGGATACCTCGGACGCATAATTTTTGGTAGCTGGGACTGCGTTCGCGCCGTCCCTTACAATATTTTGAATCTTTTTTTTCATTGCACACAAATCATGTTGTGTATGTTAATGGTCTCCGACTCGCGACGGATGGTGGTCGTGGTACTTCACGATATTACGCGCCCGTTTGCGAGAGCCGATCGAGTAAAATCATGATTTTTCTAGCTGAATTTAATAAATTACAAGTCCTGCATAAATTAATAAGGTAGGGCCCCCCGAGAGTGTATTACTTGTAAATCGATTTAGACGAATATTTGTAAGTTATTCTATACCAGTTTTTACTTTTTTATATAATATTGTACTTACTAGATTGAATTTAAGTCTAAGAGACTGACATTTTTTTACAGTGCGTATTTCTATATTTTGGATTGCGTAGACAAATTTTTCAATATTATTATTATGTTTCTAAACTTGTATTCTTGATGTTATTATGTACGATGTACCTGTGCCAGGAATGTCGTATAAAAAACGTGTTAATGACAAGTTTTGTTCCCACTTTAAAATTTAGTAGGTTGGTCTTTTAGTTCATTTTTGTGAGATGCAAGTATGTCATTATAGATTATTAAACGAATTAATATAAACATAATATTTTCAACTACATGAAAAAAACAATATAATATTATTACACTGCCTTTTGACAAGCAATTGTACTATAGGCTTATAACTTTTTACAATACACCTACGATCTACTTTCACCTTGAAAAAAATCAAATATTTTATACAATAATGTATTTATTTTTTAAATTGACATTCTATTTGTATAAATAAATATATAATAAAACATATTAAAGAAAGACTCAAGAAAAGCCCTTATTTGTAGTTATGGAAACTACCGAATAGTAGGCATTTTCGAATTGCGGTACACTGCGCGTTGGCACAATATTTGCATAATACATGTGCAAACAAACGGCGCGTGCAATAAACGAAAAGTCGTGCGCTGCATAATGCGTCTGGGACCCTGTTCTCGAAAGCATACAATAAATTTCGAAAGTAAGTTTAATTCTAAAATAGTGTCATAAAATAAAAAAATTGAAGGATAGAATCAATAATGTATTATAGATTTCTAAATATAGACGTACGGTGTAAAGTATGGGCAATTTGGTAGATTTAATATATAGCTATCAACAAGAAAAACTTTAAATAAAATTAACAAAAATAAAAAATGATATTTTGTATCACAAGTTATAACTTCTCTTTAGTCTCTTAAACCTTAGTAGTTTAGGTATTCATAGTATCATTGATTTTAAATACCTACTAGTAGCACAGAATAAGTTATTCTGTGCTAGTAGTACAAGTAGTAGTATTTATAATCAATGATAGTATCTTAACATTAATTATACTATTGTAACATTATAATATTATCAAAACATCTAATTTAAATTCAGTTTTATCGGTTAATAACTAAATATTGTAATAAAATAATAATAATCAACAAGAAAAATAAAAATTTACATTTTCAATAAAATAAAATATAAATATAATAGTTGTGAGGATGTCAGCGCCCTATTTGTTTTCTCTCTCTGGCCCACTCGCAACATAGACAAAACGCATTTACGCAGAATCATTTTTTCTATATTTTTAAGTAATCTTAGAGTAAAATCATTTATTAAAAAAAAGATATAGAAAAATATTTTTGAGGGAACGACATATCGATTTGTCTAATAACTGTCTCAAAACAATTTATACATAATTGAAATTTAAAACATTTTTTTGTTTATTTTGAAAGTCGAATACTAAGTCAAATAACTATAAAATATAAAATCGATATGTTATTTCCTCAAAAATATTATTCTCTATCTTTTTTTAATGGGTGATTATTTTACTCTAAGATTACTTAAAAATATGGAAAAAATGATTTTTTTTTGTTACATGTTGCGCGTGGGCCACAGAGAGAAAACAAATAGTGCGCTGACTTCCTCTTAACTTTGTATTAAATGTAAAACTTTTTGTAGGTACTAATTAATTTTGTATTACCTAATTTTATTCATTGGGTTATTGAAATAATATTATTATAATAATCTTATATATGGATATAATATATCTTATTTATGTATGGATATCCGTATAATATGGCGTCATTGTTCCCATAATATTTATTAGTTGTAAAATATTATTGACATATGCGGTGTATATATCGCTCCGATTATATTTTGTATAAATGTTGAATTAGATAGCAACAGGGGAGGAGTGGGAACCAAATCCAGGCCGGGAGTTTAAAATTTATCCACCAAAATTTTTTTTCTCTCTAAGCTCGAATTTGGTTTTTCTATTTACCTATTTCAAAACTACTTA